CAGGCAGAGTGTAGCGCGCGGCGGCCGCATCCACGCCCGCAGCCAGCCGCTCCTCGTCGAGGCCGACCACGTCGGCGCGCTCCCAGTATTTGAGCGGATTGGATGGGTGCAGCAGCATCTCCTCGCGCGCGCCGCCGTTGGCGCCCAGCATCATGGTCAAGTTTGCGACGATCGACGTGCCCGCGTGGTGCATCCCGAGGACGAGGATCTGCGACGGAGAAGCAGCGGGCCCCGACGCCGGGGCACCGAGAGGGAGCGCAGATACAGCAGCCAGCATCGTTCGCAGCTCACCTGCGCGCGCGCGAAACTGTGTCAAAACTCTGCGCGCAAGCCGAGTCGGCGCGCCGTCCGCTGCGCGCGGCGATCCCCCCGCTGTGGGCGCGGGTGCGCGGGGCGGCGGGGGGCGGCAGGCAGGCGGCCGGCCCCGGCACGGCGCGCGCGCGCGCGAGCCGCGCTCGCCCCTACGAGGGCAGCTCTGTGCGCCTTGCGGAGAAGACGCTGTCCACTGCCGGGCGGCGCCCGCTGTCCAAGGCTGAACTTCTGGTCTGAGGTGTCTGTCGTCGTCGTCCTGGCATCTTTACTGCGCGTGGCCTGGTACGTAGCAGGCGTTGGACGGGAGAGGGTGTGAAGTAGCAAGTGGGCGGCGAGGTGTCGGTGTGAATGCACCGACTAGGAGCGGGAGCGTTAGAGAGGAGCGTGAGCGCCAGAGACAGAGAGAGAGAGGACAACAAACACAACCATGATGTAACAAAGCTCTCTCTCTCTCTCTAAAACGCCACGGGCGGGGGCCCTATCTCTATTGTCCCCTTGCGGCCGAGCAGGGGTGTGCGGTGTGCGGGTCCACACACACTCACACAGTTCGAATACCAATACGGTATCCAAACAAAACGCCAAAAAACCACCGCCGGGAGGCTCGAGAATGGCGCACCTGCCGGCGCGGCATCAAGCACGAACGGACCGTCCACAACGGCAAGGGTAACAAGTAATTAAATTTCTCCCTTTCAATTCACGGATACGTTCCAAGCAACCCGGCCAAGGACTTAGCGCGCGTCCCTTCGCCACAACGCAACCAACTCCCATGGGCTCCTCCTGCTCCTCGCACAACTCTCATGCACGTGAGGTGCAGTCCGCGCGCGAGTCCGTGCTCTCCTCCTTCCGCAATGAGCTGGAGCCGTGCACGCCGGATGCCGAGAGCGAGTGTAGCACCCCCGGCGCGAGTGACGCCGGAGAGGTGAAGGCTCGGGGCATGGACGTGCAGGCAGAGCCGCAGGTGGAGCCGCAGGTAGAGGCGCAGGTGGAGGTGCGGGAGCAGGCGCAGGCGCAGGATGAGGACGAGGTGCCCGGCATGATGGCCATGCTCAAGAGCGTCTCGCGCTTCATCTCTCCAATGGGCGACTGGTCTTTGCCGGCGCCGCAGTGCGTGGCGAGCCTGCGAAAGAGCGACTCGGAGGTGCCGCAGCGGGAGGGGAGCGCCTCTCCGACCGAGGGGGAGGAGGCCACGCCTGCGCCGCCACCCAAAAAGGAGTCGTATGTCTCGGGCTTCGCCTGAGATCTCTCGTCGCTCACAGTCCGCTTGCGGCTTGGCACACATGAAGCATGCTATGAAGCATGCTATTTAGTATAAAGCCCCTATACAAGTTCAATTTTGATACGCATCCCGTGGGGAGGTCCATCACAAGCCATGCCAGAGCGAGAGAGAGAGAGCAGAGACGAGCTGGCAGCAAATTTCTCCACTGGTTGGGTAGTAGTCTAAGTTCTGAGCCTCGAGGCTGAGCGGGTCTAAGTGTGACTAGTCACGCTGGGGTGCTTACGCGGTCTAAGATCAGCGAGAGCCTCTTACATCGGCTAAGTCGGCCGTGGCACAGCCTGGGGCCAAGAGGCTCCCACCGTGATCAACGATACGGCGCTAGCCCCCAAATTTTCTTCGCCTGCGGCGGGCGCCTTCTAATCCGGATCGATCCTTCTCATGCTCAGCAATCGCCGCCTCAGCATCCTCCTCTTCCGATTCTCGTTGCTCTTCTTGAGCGCAATCTTCAAGCCAAACAGTTCTCACAAATAGCCTCAAGCTCAAACAAACGCATGTCAAGGAAGCCTGTGTATGCTGGTCCTCTTTGAACGATCCGCGCGTGAGGTAGATCTAGCATAGGGCCTTGTTGGCAGCAGCCAGCTTGTTGCGCTGCTTCGTTGCGATGAGCTGATTGGGATCGCAGAAGTGCATGCCAAGCACCGCCACGATCTTGAAGCAGAACACATCGCAACCGCATCGTCCGCACTGCCATCGGCATGCCGCGCCCGCCGCTTCGCCGCAGCCGCCTTAAGACACGCATAGCGGCAGCACATGGTACGGTGCGCGTACTTGAGCAGGAGTTGCGCGCCGCAAGTAGCGCACTGGCCCTGGGACAAGGCGATATGGCGTCGTGCGCGGCATACGTTGGTCGGGACGCGTCCAGGTATTTTTCGGGTAAACCTGGACTTTTGCAGGTATACCCGGGTTTTACCCGGATTTGGCCTTGTGCCGTCTAAGTTCATGGCCCCCGACCATACAGCGTCTAAGTCCGAGCCCGGCTCCGTGCGGGGGCTAAGTTGAGCGCTCGCTCGCTGCAGAGGCTAAGTGTAGAGCGACCCTCTAGCCCTACTACCCAACCATTATTTCTCCGCCGCGTTGAGGGGAGGAGCGCAAACGAAGAGCGCGGAGTTGGGTTGGGTGGTGAGTGACATAGCGTGCGTCGCGCGCCTGCAGGCCGCGACCGTTGGGGCTTTCAGGCGAGGCAGCCGACGGATGCCCACCGCAACCTCGGGCGTGGCGGGCACGGCCGGAGCAGACGTCGAGGGGACCAGCGCCTCTCCGCCGCGAGCAGGAGGCATCCGACGGAGAAGGCGGAGACGGTCCGAGAGGCCACCATTCGGGCGAGGGCTGAAGGAGCGCGGCACGCTACGCGCCAGCTGCTATGCAGTGGAGTGGGCGCGGCACGCTACGCGCCAAGCTGCTATGCAGTGGAGTGGTCGCCGCCACACAATGCTGCTGCTTTGCCCCCCAATCGTTTCGGTCACGTGCCCGCCGGGTTTGAGGTGTTGAGCTGAGGGGTCTGCGTGTTGAATCGCCGGCACCTAGTTATTCTAAAAAAAGTCACTCTGTTTTATATATGAAAAGGGACCCGCAACGATACGGACGGAAAATGCCCGAGCACGAGTCTTCTCCCGGCCGTGCGGCCATTCCCTCGATTCGAGACACGATCCGCTCGCTGGAGAGAGACCCGAAATCACCCCACGACAAGCGACCAAACGACGATGACGGTGCGGCTCACGCGTACGGTGCTCGTGGACTGGAATGGCAGCGCCTCGACAAAGAGTCGACACGCTCGCTGCTCGCAGACGAAGACCTTCCGCTCCACTCGTTCAAATCGATCACCCTCTTTATGCGCCGCCGCAGCGCATGGCTCTGCACCGCGGGCGCGTTACTCGCGTACCTGGCCTTTCTGCCGCCACTGCCCGTCCTCCTAGATGCGCAAGATGGCATGTGTCTGGGCGTTGCGCATTGTGGCAAGCAAGAGGGCACGCGAACACGACAGTCGCCACCAGCATAAGCGGTTTCTTCGCTTTAGGCTTGTCATTGTACCTGTGATGACGCACGAAATCTGCACCGAGTGGCAGGATGGCCATATAGCGCTCTTGAACCCGCCGAGGGCGCCCGACTCGTGCACGGGGCTAGAGAAGGTGATTGAGCTTATCCCCGATGACTTCTTCATCAAGGCCACCGTCTCGAACCTATCCTCCGACTTCAACACGCCCACGGGAAGGGTGCGCCATTCCAGCCGCCCGCCGCCCTTCTTGCCGGCGCGGCCGCCCTCACTGTGCTGATCCGCCTCAGGTGTTCCTCGCCTGCATCCTGCTCTCTTCCATCGCGCTCCTCGTCTCGGAGTTTCCATTCTGGCTGCCGCGCCGCTGGCTCAGTGACAGCGGGCGGCAATGGATGGACTCGTCTGAGGGCAAGCTGCGCTTCGTGTGGCTCGTCGTGGGCACGCTCTGCACCGCGGTCGTCTCGGTCGTGCCAAGCCCCGCCGATGCGGGCGGGTATGACTTCATACTGATGATGATGCACAACATTGGTGCGATGGTTGGCTATGGCACCATGGTCGGCATGGAGCTGGCGCAGCTCCACTACGGCGAGAATGTCTTTCGCCGCGCGTGCGCGACGTGGCGGCAGTGCCTCTGCGGCCCGCCAGCGGAGCACGCTCCGCCGCGCGACCTGCTGCCGCTCAACTTGGACCAGTGGCTCCGCGGTACCATCATGGTGCTCGAGCTGTGCACCGGCGTGGTTTTTATCAGCGTGCAGGGCTCCCTCACGCTCTTTGGGGCGACGTCGCAGGCCCTCGCCTACTACTCCGTCTTTTTGGAGACGGCTTTTGCGGTGCTCATCTACAGCGACCTGCTCGTGATGGGGCTGCATGGCATAGCGATGGACGTCAATGACGTCAAGCCGTGATTTAGAGGGGCGCCAGCAGGGCTATTGATACGATGGCGCTTCTTTTCGAGATTCCAGCTAGGGCCCAAAAGAATTCCCAAAGGCGGCGCCTGTGAATTGCTGATTCCGGCTGCAGCTGCGGCACGCCCCTGTCGAGTGCTCGTCTCCTCACCCCAGTGATGACAGAGGTCGCCTCCTCGCCTCCGTTGCCGGCGAGCGCGCCGGCGTCAATCCGTTCGCCCATCCGTTCGCCAAAATCGCCGTTCGCCGGCTTAAAGAAGAGAGCTAGCACCGGCGCGGCAACGGTGAAGAAGGCAGCAAAGGGCAGCGCGGAGAAGGCAAAAGGAGCGGCAAAGGCCGCGACCAAGGCGGCCGTCAGCGCTACCGATCGGGCGGCGACTCGCGTGCAGGCCAACGTGCGGCGCTGCAGCTCCACGGTCTGGCTCGCCATGCTCGACGCGGCGGACAGGGCGTGCGACAGCGCTGGCCTGAAGGTGATGCGGGACCGGCTCGTAAAGATGGGCGCGGCGGGTGGCACGGCCTGCGCGAATGTGGTGATGGCGCTCTCCGGCGCCAGCGGCCCGGGCGCGGCGATGAGGCGGCGGGCGCTGATCAAGCTGTTCCGCACGTCGGTGGCGCTGGTGAACCTCGTGCTGAAGGCGCTGCGCTCCCTGCCCCAACACCTCTCCCCAACGCGCGGCGCCCCCGCGCTGATGTTCCGCTTCTCTTCTCAAGGCGCTGCTCCCTCGCTATCTCACGCCGATCCGACGAGAGGTGCAGCGGACGATGTCCGCCATCCACAACTCGGGCGTGCCGATGCCGCTCGGCGACGAGGGCCTGCTCGCCAACTACTCGCTCGAGGTGCTGCGCATGGATGCCGAGGGCCGCCTCTGGCGGAGAAAGGTCGGCGAGGCAGGCGCCGCGCGGTACGAGAGGGTCGGCGCTGCGGGCTGCCTGCCGCAGCAGTGCTCGCGCGCGCCTCCAGCCTTCGGAGAGAAGCCGCCGCCCGTGTCCGCGCGAGGGATCATCAAGCGGTTCACCGTCCTAGATGCCGAGTGAGCGAGAGGGCCTCCGTGCAGCTCTCGTAGTCCCTGCGACTCCCGCGCGCGCCGCCCGCCCCCTAAGTCAGCTGACTTCGTGTGTACTCGTCTCGCAGGCTGGCCGTCCGGATTGAGCCGCGGATCGTCAGGCCGCCGAAGGGGTGGAAGAAGGCCAGGGAGGCGGCCGAGGACGACCTTGTGACGGAGGCCGCCGACAGGCGCACGCTTCGCCCCATTTCACGCGCACCCGCCCTTGCACTCTAATTGCCGTGGGGTTCCCGGCCTAGCTCGCGCCTGACTCAGGACATGGAGATGCGAGGTGGGATGCCTGTCGCTCCTTGCCCCAGCATTGTGTGTGTGTGGGGGTGCGATCACCTCGCCATTGCCCCGCCCAGGCACCTCGCGGCCTCCTACTCGCCGCTACTCGCAAAGTGCCTTCAGCGCGCGCTCCCGCGGCGGCTCAAGGCGCGCGCCCGACATCGACCCTCCCCCCCCCCTCCTGCACTCGTGCTTAGTCGAGACTCAATCCTAGGCGTCGCTCGATATCGACTACCCGCCCGACTTTATGCCGCGCGCGATGCGCGACAAGCCAAACGAGGTGCTGGCCCTCGATCTCGACCTCGACTTCGCCGTGCGGTTCGACAGCCGCGAGGAGCTCTCTAGCGACTGCAAGCCCGATCACGAGTGGGCGGAGTGCATGCAGTGCTGGCGGGTCTGTCTGTAGGAGCTGTTCGGAGACGACGTGCGCAGCTTGGGCGGCTACACCTCCACCGTCGCCGTCAAAGACAACGACGCGCGACTCGTCCTCTCCGCGTGTGCCGGGCGTCAGATTGCCCCGAGATCACGCGAGATCACCCACCCGAGATTAGGCGCGGCTCGTCCTCTTTGCGCGCGGGCACAACGGACTCCCCTCTCTCGGCACGCTCGAGCTGCGCAGCCTGCGGGTCGACACGTCCTCGCTCGCCTGGTGCGCGAGATTCGCCGAGAGCACCCGAGAAGGACCGAGAGCACCCGAGAGCACCCGAGAGTACCCGGGGGGTCACGGCAGATCGGCTAGATCTCATCTACATCTCGACTAGAAGCTAGACCTCGGCTAGATCTCGGCGCGCGTCTCACAAGGTGGGACGTCTTCGACGGCGCGATCGAGCTCGCCTTCAAGAAGGACGCGCCGCCGGTCATCGATTGGAACATCGAGGTGGCCATGGGGACGCCGCGGCTGCCGCTCCCCTCGTGCATCGAGGACGCCTTCCTGGCGTGGCTCACCGGCATGGTGCGTTGCGACGCTCCAGACCGCGCTCGCAGCCCCCATAACGTGGGGCGCCGTCTCTTCACACCACCGGTGGTGTGAGCAGGTGATGCGCAGCTTCAACCGCGCCTACCCGCTCAAGGTAGACCTCGACGCGAGCAGCACGGCCAAGGAGGGCTCGGAGTGCGACGAGGAGGAGGTGCGCGGCGAGGAGGAGGAGGTGGTGAAGGATGCGACTTTGGACTTGGCTAGTGCGAAGGCGTGATTGAGATTTATACGTCGACTCTCACGCGTACAAACACAACAATTGGTGTTGCATGCGAGTACACATGGTACATAGATCGTCACATACAGAGTACAGGTATCTCTCTTTTCATCGCGACGGCGAGACGTACGGCTAAAGAGCCTTTAGCCCTTTACACATTAGTCATTACATATTAACGCACTCAGAGCACTTGTTCAGCTCTCACCGTCTCAGCACTCAGACCGCGTCAACAGGGCCGATGGGCCGTACAGCGTACACCGCAGTGCGGCGCGCGCCGGGGGGGCACACACGTGATCACTCGCTCTCGAACACGAAAACGAGGACAGCGAGACACGCTCTCCTCACCTACCCGGGTACTACGATCTACGTACGAACCGACTTTTCCTGTGGCCAGGGAGCTCGGCGCCGAACCCGAAGGCCCCACGCCACACACGCCCACACCATCACATGGCGACAGGGGTCTCGCGGCTCCGCCTCTGCCCGAACCTAGCCTCGCGGCCCGCATGCCTCTCTCAGCTCTCTCAGCTCTCCGATGCGTGTTATTCGACAGCCCCACCGCGTGGCGAGGGCGGAATCCGGAGTTGAACTCGTAGAGCCCAGCTCGAGATCAGAGCACGCCCGCGCAGGGGTTGAACTCGCCCGCGCGGACGTGGTCGCTGATCCACGCGCAGAGAGAGACGAACCGGTTGGCGTCGATGCGAGCAAAGTCGTTGGACTCGTTGATGACCCACCACCCGAAGAACCAGAACACCTCTTGGTAGAGGAGCGCGAAGACGCCCTGCGCCGGCCCCGCCTCCAGCTTGTCGCTGAACATGGCCCCGTGGCCGCCGTTGGATTGCGGAGGTGAGAGTGCCGGCCAGAGGGGAGACCCGGACTGTCCCTGAGCGCCGTCGAGCTCCATCTCGAAGAGCTTCCCCTCGATGTCCTGCACCTTGTCGCGCGAGCACTCGGCGTGCAGCTGCAGCGGCGGCGAGAGGTCGCCCGGCCACCCCGCCGTGCACCACGTCCACCTGTAGCTCGGGTTCGAGTAGAAGCCAAACGTCATCCAAGGCAGTCCCGTCAGCGCCGCCGACGCCGACCGGCGCGTCTCGGGACGGTTCTTCACTTCGATTAACGCGATGTCGTACTCGGCGTCGCCACTCTCGACAAAGCCAGTGTAGGTCATCATGCTGATCGCCTCGACCCAGCGCACCGTCTGAACGCCGTCCACGTCGGAGCCCCAGAGGGTGCCTGTGCCCGACGGCGCGCCGGTGGGGCAACCCCACTCGCGTGAATATCCGACGAAGACCTTCCTGTTCGCGTCCATCTTCCACCCCTTATTCTTGAGCTCGTTGCCGGCGGCGTCGTACCAGCTGTACACGCAGTGGCCGGCAGTGAGGACGTGGCGAGAACCAACCATCACGCCAGAGCAACCGGTGGAGAGACGTACCATCATCTGAAACGGCCCAGCCTCCGAATCGGAGCACCCAACCGGCCTCCGCGAGTCTGGCCCGAAGAGCTGCCGAGAAACGCTGCCGACCGACTCAATCTCAAGGCGCCGGCCTTCTTCCTTGGGTGGCGGTCTGGTGGCACTCCCTGGCTGCTTCAGAACTGCCCTGAGGGCAGCGATGAGCGTGGTGTTGCGGTACACTGACTGCGTGGTCGTTCGGTTGAGGTCGAAGGACACAATGTCAGCAGCAGAGCGCTCGCTGGCCGAGCCCACGTTCCTGGCGACATCGTTGGATGGGACGCAGGATGAGATGGGATTCCACCACGGCTTCTTACAATAAGCCAGAAGCGGTTCGGTGTCGAGGTTCTGAGCGGCGAACGCAGCAGTCAAAGCCAGCGCCACCAACATGCGAACAAGGTCGGCCAAGCTCCCGTGACGCAATGACAAGGAAGCCTGGGCTCCGCGCCCCCTTCATTCTTTTTCTTTGGTTTTAGTTTGCAAGAAATTAATTTTTTGTTCTTTTGAGCAGATCTCCATGGCGGCGGTGGCGGGCGACGCCGACAAGATAACAAGCAGGCGCGCAAGATGCATACTTGCCACTGCGTCAACTGGTTTCATGTATCCGATTCCTCTCTTTTTCGTTTTCGGAGCCCCCGCGTATTCTTTTTTTCGGAGTAAGCCCTACCCCTCTCCTTGTCATGCTCACGGCGCCGCCCGTCGTGCAGAAGCGCAGGCTTGCTAGCATGCTCCCTCTTCTGCTGCTCGCCGTCATCGCTGTGCTCCTCCCTGGCGGCGCGGCTGTCGGTCTACGCAGGTCTTTGATGGGCGACTACCACGTGATTGCGGAGCGGAAGTCAGACTCGCCTCCGCCGCCGCTGCCGCCGCCGCCGCCCTCGCCGCTGCCGCCGCCGCCGCCGCCGCTGCCGCCGTCCCCGCCGCCGCCAGCTTCGCCGCCAGAGCACCGAGTATTCTCCTTCCAGCTGCCGGGAGATGTTAGTGTGAGCGTGGACGCAGGGCCAAAGGCCTGACGTGCACCTCTCCGCCTCACCTATCGGTACGGCAGCGACTTTTGGCCACGAGATCATCGAGAGGGTTGTGTGTCGAGATGTGTGTGCGCGCGGCAGTGCGCGCCAGCGGGCCGCGGGTACAAGATCGACGTGTGGAGAGACGGAAACCGAGTCGAACCGAGGCCATTCCGCTTGTGTAGTCTAGCCAAAAGGTATGTCCCAAACCTACCCATGACTGATTCCACGGCGACTCGCTGAAAGCTGAGGGCAGCGCTTGACGCGAGCCATAGATCCCCAGCATGTGAGCGCGCTCACCTTCGCGCGCCGTGTGTGCACAGGCTGCAGCGCGCGGCTAGCCGCGCCTCTGTGGTCTGCCGCCACGCCGCCTCCTCCTCCGCCTCTGCTCCCTCCTTCTCCACCACGCTGGGCCGCGCTCTCCGCCTTCGCCTGCACCTCCGCCGCCTCTCGTCCGCCTCCTCCTCCGCCAGTTGTGCCGCAAAGCAGCCTTGGTGCACGCCTGCTCCCTCGTCTGTTCGTCGAGGGGAGGCTTGCCAGCCGTAGCCTCAGCCCTTTGACCGCAGATGCCTTTGCCTCGCTAAGGCCGCCGGAAGAACGGGACGGCGCGAATTTACCTATCGATCAGCCAGTCGACCACGCGCGACATAGCAGCTCTTAAGATCGGGATGCCGATGAGCAGGAATAAGGTGGTGGAGAGCACCCCCTGAGCTGCTGTTGCAGGCCGCCCGTCGGAGAGGCACAAAGGGCAAAATAGCACGAGGTTGGTGAAGGACTAGCCGGGCTGCACTGAAAGACGACGGCGACGTGAAGGCGAGGACAAAGGTCATCTCGAGCATCAGCCGGCGGACGATGATGCGTGCCCACCGCGGCCCTTCCAACCGGTCAGGGATGCTGTCGCCTGCGTCCTCATCGTCGTCCTCACCGGCGAACCGCCCGGCCGCAGGAGGAGGACGGAGCGTCGTGCCGGCCGCCATGATGCTGAGCCGTATTAGATGTTGTAACACCAAATGCCTCCTCGAGAAGCAGACCGAGATAACCCGCAATGCACCACCGAGTAGTAGAGCGCCATCGCACGGGTGACATCACAGCACTCTTGAGCCGCGGCGCAGTCACATTCTTCTGCTCCGCTATTTCGCACAGCCTCTCGATTGGTGAAGGAAATCAACCGCGCCGACAAAGGCCAAATGACCATTGTCGCACTTACAACATTTGTTCCCGCCTCGGTGCTCGGATCATCCACCACCACTTTGATACGTCTGCGCGATGCCGGAAGGTCTCCGCGGCACGAAGGTGGCCGATGCGTGGTATCAACACGGCGCTACTTCCGAGGCGAAACTTCATTGCGGAGCACGCATCGAGCGGGTCATGCAGGTTGCAAACGTGCGTCCCCGCGGCACTGGGACTGTCGCTACACATGCCGTGCACTGAGGCTTGTTGGACGCGCGTCCTGCTGCTCAGCAGCAGAGAGGTCAAAGATGCCCTAGTCGCACATGGGCTCTGGCTGAGCGGCACGCGGGCTGAGCAGCAGGGGCGGCTGGGCATAGCTGAGTGCTGCCCTGCACCGCAGGCAAATGGACTGAGCGTCGCCGCTTTCGTTTTGTCAATCATTGCTATGTTGATCAGTGGAGGCGCACTCGCGATGAGCATAATAGTGTGCTGTCGAACCTCCCCAGCTAAGCTGAAGGAGGAGTAGTGCTCAGCGGCCGGCCCTCGTGTGGCGCGAGGAGACTGGGACTGGGTCTAGCCTTGAAAGTACTAGAGCACGGATGTATTCCACGCGCACAAGCAAGACCTCCACACCATGCTGCTCGGAGCGAGACTAGAATCGCACGCGAGCCACGAGAGCCACAGTCACATCTCACAGGCCACTAGGTAGGGACACACAGTGTGCACAGAGACTAGAGCGGACAGCGGACAAAAGCCCCGCGGAGTTCTCCTCGCGCGGCGGCGGGAGGAGGCCAAGCAACCCCCGGCGGCCGACGCTCTCCCGTCGACCCCCCTACCTCCCTCCCCCCTCTCTCCCTTCTCTTGGGGGAGTGCAGCTCCCCCTCCCTCCTCGCCACCCCTCACGACGCCCTCTTGGCTTTGGCGGCATCCTCCGCCTCTAGCTCGCGCAGCTTCTCGAGGAGCTCCTTCTCCCACGGCTGCATCGCCTTCTCCACCTTGGCCTGCCCCTTCTCGCTGCTCGCCTGCGCCTGTGCGCTCAGCCTGCGCGGCGCGGCAGGCAGGACCCGTGGTGAGAGGCTGCGGCTTTGTGTGTGTGTGGGGGGGGGGGGGAGGGGAGCGGCGGACTCCGACGGGCGGGCGAGCTGCGGCGTGTGGCGGGAAATGGCCGAGGTACGGTCCGAGCGAGGGCGGGCTGGAGGGGCAGAGGCGGGCAGCGACGCGAGGGGAGGGAGGAGGGAGGAGTGGAAGGGGTAGGGAGGGACGAGAGGGGGAGGCGACGGTAGAGAGGAGAGGAGAGGAATGGAGGAGGGGAGAGCAACGGAGAGGGAGGGGAGGGCGAGGGAAGGAGGAGAGGCAGGGTGGAGTGGCGGTGGGGCCAGGGCGGTGCGAGGCTCGCTTTCGGCCGAGTTTCGACTGCTGGTAGGCCCCTCCCGCAGAGTCGCGCGCGGTCTGCAGGTTGGCGGACAGCTTGCGCTGGAGCGGCTGCAGCGGCGAATTCTCGACGCCCTCACGCAGCACATCCGTCGTCGGGAACCACCGCCGCACCTCCTCCCCAAACTGCGCGGCGGTGGTGATGCCATAAGCACGCGCCGTGGCGACCGCCCCCACGCCCATGAGCGCCGCGAGCCCGGTGCCCGCGAGCAGCGCGCGGCCGCCGACGCGCCGCGCATACGCCTCCATCTCGGCGGTCGGGCGGTCCGGGAACTTCTCCAGCAGCTCCTTATACGCCTCGGACTGGTGGAAGGAGCGCGACCCGTACCCGGCGCCAAAGCCCATCGCAAGGGCGCCGCACGCGGTGAACCCGGCAATGGCGGGCAGGACGGGCGTCGGTTGCGACGGCGTGGCGCTCCATCGCCGCGTTACCCGCTTCTCTTCGTCGCCCATGAGCTTAGCCTGAGCTTTGCCTGCGCGCCGAAGACCGGCGGCCGACAGAAAAAATTAGAAGGCTAGCTCTTGCCCGCAACCCGATGCCAATCATCCGGCCCGCTGGGTGCGCTTCTGAGCTCCCCGGCCCTGGATGTGAGGTTACCGACTGCACTCCAAGTGCTCCAAGTAACTTTTGAGTCAAGCATCTGTTAACCCCTTACGCGCCCCGGTAAATGGCGGTCTCGGCCAAAGATCGGCCGGATCGGTGGACGGATCGTGGCGCGCTCGCCACATACGTCTCGGCGTGCATTGCTGTTCGCAGGGATCAGTCACGGTATAGTGAACTGATTGACCCCTCCCCCCCCTTCTCCCGGCACTGACTCCGCTGAACTGCGTGCTGCGATTCTTGCCTTGTCCCAGGAGCCAGGTGCGTGTGTCTAATCGCAGTTGGGGCCCTGGCCCCCCTCTGTTTTCGGTTTTCTGTTTTTCAAAACGCCCGCCCGCCCGCCACCCCGAGGCGGCTCGGCCCCCCACTCACCGAGAGATCAAAAACGCTCGGCCCAGAGAGGCACAGGTGCCAATCTGGGGGCTTTCGACCGAGTCTATAGAGCCCTGGCCGCACTGTGGCGATGTGTCTCGTTAGCTATAACTATCTCTACACGCGCTCCTCGAGCTCGACCACCTCAGCGCCTTGTGTCAGGCGCTTCGCCTCCAGCGCCCTGGCTCCGTGCTGCAGCCACATCACCCGCGCCATGCCCACCGTCGACAGGCCCGCGCCGAGCGTAAGGCTCGCGAACAGGGCGTCTGGCCCAAGCCACTCGATAGCTGCCCCGGCAATGAGTGTCGAAGACCCCGACCCAACATACTGCGCGCAGTTTAGTAGCCCGGACGCCGTGCCGCTCAGGGACGGCTCAACGAGCTCCACGCTCGCGGCCGCCATGAGGACCGTCAGCGCGCCAAAGAGCGGCGCCGAGAGCGCGCCGCACAAGAGGGCCAGAGGGAGCACGGCGTCGGCGCTTCCGGACGCGATTGCCGCGCGCACCGCCGCGGGGAAGCAGAGGAGAATGGCCGCCTGCGCGAGGGCGCACGCGAGGACCACAGGCGCGCGCCTTGAGCCGCAGCATCGGTCGGAGATGACGCCGACGCCGAGCGAGCCCACCATCCCTCCGAGCGTGATGGCCATCGCCGCCGCCGAGTGGGAGGCAGACCCAACCTCGACGCCGGCGGTGGCGTGCAGGTAAGAGCCGAACCAGCTGAGGAAGCCCTCGCGCACCCAGCCCGTGCCAAAGAGGCCGAGCATCGTCGCTCGCACCTTTGGATCGGCGAGCAGCCGACGCAACGCGGTGCGGTAAGGCATTGGGACGACGCAACCCCGGCTCGAGGGAGAGGAGGCGCGGCTGCCGGCAGGCTCTGAGACGAGCGATACGCACCGGACGTCGGCGGGCCGGTCGGCGACGGCGCAGGCCACGAGCGGCGCGGCGACGGCGAGGGCGGATGCCGGCGCTAGGAAGCTGGCGGCAGGTCCGTGGGCTGCGAGGACCCACCCGCCGAGGACGAGCGCCACAAAGTAGCCGGTGGAGAGCATGGTGCCAAAGATGCCGGCGAAGGTGCCCCGCTCGCTCTTGGTGTACCAGTCGACGTTGATGCGGATGACAGAGAGAGCGGCGAGGCTTGCGCTGGCGAGGTTGAGCGAGTTGAGCAGCAGGAGCTCCCAGTAGCTGGGATGCAGCAGCAGCAGTGCGCCGGCGGCGGCGCAGCACGCGCAGCTCCCAGCGGCGCCGACGAGCAGTGAGCGCCTGCCGCCAATTTTGTCGACCACTCCGCCCCCGAGCGCCGTGCCGACCGCATAGGACCAGAACCCACACGTGAGCAGCGCGCCGTACCCGCTCGGTGTGGCGCCGAGCAGGGAGCTGACCGAGGGCGTGTTGACGATTACCGCAGCGTAGCGAGCCATGTAGAAGACGGCGTAGGTCGCACCCGCCACGAGCCAGTTGACGAGCCGGCGTAGCTGGAATGTGACGGTGCGGCCGTGGGAGTTCACGCTCAGGTCGAGGACGACCGCGATCAGGACGGCCGCCGCGATGGCAAGGCACTGCAGGAGCTGGGCTCCCATTTCGCCTGGGCGCGCTTAGACTGTGTGTGTGGTGGGGGGCGCCCTCTGGACGGGGCGGTCGTTGGCCCGCCGTCGTTCGTTCCACGTGGGCGCGGCATCGGTAAAAGAGGGAAAAAATCGAAAAAAGAATGGGCACCGAGCTGGCGCGCACTGGCACTCACAGACTCATAGTGGTAAAAGAGGAATTTTCGTTCCCTTTGTGAATGATTTTGTCAGGCGGGGATCTGGCTGGCTATACGCAGTCACCAGGGAGCTGCTCACACACAGACAGACGCCGCCCGACCGGAGCGGCGGCCAACGCTGCACTCACTCTGCCCAGAGCGGTGGTTGAGGCCGATTGCCTCAACTGTCAACCAGCGGGTTGACAGAGGTCTCAACCATCAACCAAGTGGTTGACAGACCCCTTCAAACCTTCAACCATGCGGAATGGCTGTTCACACACACCCCGCGCAAAGGTCTGAACAGTTGAACATCTCTGTGAACATTCATGTCGTCTTCTTTAGATGCTGCATTTGACGTGCCGTTTTTACGAGTACTTGCTTCAGCTACACGTGCGTGGATGGGAGAGGTGTGATGCCAAGCCCAGACGAGGAACGCTCTGACAAGCGCCATACCCGCCATCTCCGCGAAGGCCCCCGCACGGGAAGTCCGGGCCGACGTTTCATGGTCGTCCGGACGCGGCCCTCCGTACACGGAAATAGCTTACCGCAGACATTACCGAACTCAAAACTGCTTACCAAAGGCAGATACGAGCTCAGCTCCGTGAAATCTAGCAGCACATACCCTCAGTATCCATGTGCATGTGCCATAATAGTTAAGTCTGAAAAAGTCGGTCCGACCGCGCAGAGCGGTCTGGCTGTCTGCAGAGGCCAGAGCTTCCGTCCGGGCCCTCGAACTCGGGGGGCACGTCGAGGGTTAGCGACGGATGCGGTTTCAGGGTCGGTGGCGGGCGAGGGGTGGCTGACAGGGCTGGCTGGGGCTGTAGCCGTTGGTGTAGCAGGCCCACAGTCGGTGTCGCTACCATCTTGCCTCTCCGAGTCCTGGCCGCCGCCCGTTGCTCCGTGTCCAATGGTACTGCTGTCGCCCCCCTCCGCGTTGCTTCCCTCGTCGGGAGTGTCCGTCGGGATGGTGTCGTCCGCCCACTCGGCAGCGTTTGAGCCTCTGTCACCCTGCCTGCCGCGAGTAGCTAGCTCGTCGACGTAGTCGTTCCATTTGTTGTCGCTGTGACCCTTCACATGCCTCCACGTCACGGTGTGTTTGGCGCGAAGGCGTTGCCAAAGGGAGAGGACGAGCTCGTAGTCCTTCATCCGCCGTGGATTGAGGCTCGTTCTTGGAAGCACAAGCCGCTCCGGGTCAGAGAGCAGTGGACCGTCATAGACTCATAGTCGGCAAACCCCGCAAAGTGACCCGTTTTTGCCCACCCACGCCCGTGCGCGCGTATCTTAGCTAAGGTACGCGGCCACACGCGCTGGCGCGCACGGCAACCGGGACTTACATGCGCGACACGAGGGACTGTGTATACTTGCCTGCCTCGGGGGAGAATAGCCGCCCTCACCCGCTGCCGCGCATCGAGCTCGGCGGGGCTGATACATGTCATTCTGTTAGCCAAGATACGTGGCCACACGTGCAGACACGTATAGCGGTACTCGCGCCCACACGTGCAGCCGCCTATCTTGGCCCCGACCCCTCGCACCTCGTGTAGCGTAGAGTTGTAGCAGGACAGTTTTAAGCCGTGCGGAAGATTGTCAGCCGAGTTATCCAATCTTCTTGTTCGACCACTGCTCAGAGGGCGGCGTTGAAGGCGAGGGCGGCGAGAGCGGCGGCATGCCGGACGGCGGCGGAGGCTAGGGCGGCGGCGGGGCGGGCGGCGGCGGCGAGGGAGGGTTGGGTGCCGTCTGGCCGAAGGCTCATCCAGCCATATCTCGTGGTGTGTGCACTGCGCAGTGTGGTTTCTTTATCTACATCGATGTAGGTCACGAGGCCCCGCCGTGCAGGGCGCTACGGGCTCCGGCCGGACGTGGCAGCGGCGGAGCGTCGCGACTCCGCCCTTTTTTCGCCCAACACGCTATCCACCGTCACCGACCCTGCCGCCAGCGCCGCGGCTTCCCGCCGCGCGCGCTCAGGCTAGGGCGCTCGCTCACCGCATCTCGGTTTGCGCATTGAGCTCTGAGGCCCCCATCACGCCGGGGATCCACGGCCGGCGAGGCGTCCCGCCGGAGGCCAGGATTGAGGCACCTGCGCCGTCGACTCGGCGAGACCCTCGCCATCACCAGCCTCTACCTGGGAATACCGCATCCGCATTCCCGCTCGTCGCTTTGCGCGTGCCGCTCCTGAGTCCTGTCCCTGCGTGCGAGCTGCGACCTGGTGTCTCTTCACTCTTGCGGACTGCGCGGTGGAAGACTTCAAGAGGAAGAGCGAAGACTGAGCGGTCTGCGGCCCCGGGTTTTTCCAGGTATACCCGCAAAAATATTTTGCCGATTTGGCTGATTTTGGGCCCAAACCAGCTGATTTCCACGGAGTTTCCTCGGGAAACATAGAGAGGAAACGAGAGGGTGCTGTAGAGAACCACGCGGGAAGAGACGGGATGAGCGAGGAAACAGGTATACAGCCTAAAGTTGGCGGCGACCGTTGCAACCTCTAGGGAGGGCGCTGCGCGCTGGTCGCTGAGGTTTTCAAAAATCTCTCTGAGAGAGCGGTGGAACAGAAACCTCCCTGCGTCAACTGAAATTTGCTGTCGGCTTCTTCTTCTTTCTCGCAGTGTTCTCACCTGCCCCGATGGCAGTGCCCAAAACCACTCATCAGGCCCTCCCCGAAGGTTGCATTCCGCGCGGCTCTTCGCGCGCAAATGCTTGCCGTCAGTGCACTCAACTGATCACTCCGTGGCGGGCGTGGAGAACCATCGCTGAAGTCGCGCCCGGCACACGGGCGAGGCCGGGGGAGACGGCGAGTTGCTGTTGCTCCGGAGCGGCGAGCGGTAGCCACCCATGACCGTCTTGGCCACACGCAGATCCGCGTTCGCGGACCGCTCGTGCACCGAATCTGCCGGGTCGGCGGCGCAGACTGACGGGTCCGCTCCGACAGAGGAAGCGTCGACGGCCACCTCGCTTGCGTGATCCGACGACGCGGCAGCGCAGGCTGGCTGGGCGGCCGGCTCGCTGGCTCCTGCCTGGCGCAGCAGGAGCTCCACCGCCGAGCTGCCGGCGCTGCGCGCCAGCTGGAGCGGGGTGGTGTGATTGCCGGCGACAAACGCGGTGCGGGAAGGATCCGCCTTCTCGTGCAGAAGCACCTCGACGCACGCCTCCTCTCCGACGGCCGCGGCGAGGGCGAGGGGCGTCAGACGGCTGTCGCCGATCGTCAGCTGAAAATCGGCCGGCACGCCCATGTCGAGGCACGCCTGCAGGAGCCGCGGTCCGCCCGACTGCGCGCAGGTACGGACGAGCAGACTCGAGGCGAGCGCGCGGTGCCTCTCGCCCCACGCCTGCCCGCCCTTCTTCTCTGCAGGCGCGCCCGACAGAATTCGTGCCATCGCGCCATCTGGGAGCGCCTCGAGCGCCCACAGGACCATGGAGCTGTTGACGCGAGCGCCGGCGGCGACGAGGAGCTTGGCGCACTCGGTGTGCCCGTGTGAAACCGCGTGCGCCAGCGGCTGCTCCCACCCTTCCGCCTCTGGGTCGTCGGCGGCGACGCCCCGCGCGAGGAGGGCGCGCAGCCTTGCCGGATCGGCGTGTGTCGCGGCGTCGAGAAGGGAGTCGCGGTCCTCGTTCACCGACAGCAGTCGTTCGGTGCGCATCTTTGTTTCTTGGAGCAATGAATCGCTGGAGCAAAGTCGCCAGCCGCGCGAGAGACGCCGAGTCGCAGGACAGTCACACAAGAATTCTTGACGCGGCCGGGGCGCCGCTCCACGAAGCTCCCTCTGAGGGGTTCCGCGCGCGCTGAGTTGACTGCTCGACGGTTTTCTTTCTCGCATTTATGAAAAGGAGTTGCGGTACATGTATGCGGAAGGTTTAGTTTTTGGTGCTTCCTGGTTAAGCTTAACCCTTTTACGTACACATTTCGAGCGAGTGAAAACCAACTCCTGAGCACGGCGCCGCAGGCGCCTGTTGATAGGTCCAGGTGATAGCCCTGGATGGGCAATGCATTCGCCTACTTGGGCCTCAGATCGCCCGACCGCGTCCCGGTGCTCTGTGGTCGGATTTGTGACTCCGCCGCACCGCGCCGCGGCCGGGGGCCCTCCGGAGGCCGAGGATGGCCGTGACGGACCGGGACGAGCTCTGGGAGGTTCAATGTCAGTGAGTATATTGTAGAGGCCACCCAGGTGCTCAATATCTTGACTGAGAGCTAAGCCAGGGGAGGCGATGCCGGGGCCGTACAGCAGCTTGATGGTGCTTCGCCGGCGTAGAAGCGGCCGCGGAGGGCTCCGGGTGCCTGAAAAAGACGGATTTACGTGGGCTGTGGGAGATTTACTGTCGACTCAAACGACACTGTGGCGTAATCCTCTCATACATGGCTAAATATTTACCGAGCCGTTTTAACGTTCCACCGCTACGACTGGAGATATATCGAGATTTGTTCTCCAGGAACCTTATGAAGCAAAAGGGTTAAGGGCTCACGTGAGGGCTGAGGCGCTTTTTTCGTCAATGGGGGTTGCGTCTCAGATTGGGGCTCGCTCTCCGCTTTGGCAGCGCGGTGCGGCTGCGCCCGGGCGGAGGGGAACGTGTCCGAACGAAAGTTTAAACCAAAAAACCCAGTCGACGCTCGTCGCTCGAAGCACGAAGGGGCTCGCGCTCGGCTCCACTGAATGTGTGCCACGGTGTCCACACACCCCGCGCCGTCTCTCGGCTTTAGCCTTTACCGTGTTTACCAGTCGCGCTCCCAATACGTGCAGGAGAGAGAGAGAGAGAGAGAGAGAGAGAGAGAGAGAGAGAGAGAGAGAGAGAGAGAGAGAGAGAGAGAGAGAGAGAGAGAGAGAGAGAGAGAGAGAGAGAGAGAGAGAGATTTTAGCAATACCAAACAACTCTAACACTCACACGTCATTTACGTGCATCTCACTTTTGTGACAGGTATCAGACTTTGAGCGGCCATATCTCGGTAACTATTGATGGTCCACCTGAAAACTCTTCGGATTTGGAACGGGCGCCCGGCGCCCGTTCGAAGGGCGATGAGTTTTCAGGTGGACCATCAATAGTTACCAGATATGGCGCTCAAAGTCTGAGACCTGTCACAACAGTGATGCACGTATTGGGAGCGCGACTGTTACGCTTACGGAGATTAGAGCTGTTTAACGTTGGGAGCTGTGTTGCTAGTGTTAACAGTAACAACAGAACAACAGTGGGGCTCCCCAACAACAGTAGCTAACGTTAGGCCGGCTGAACAACAATAAGGAAGGCCTGGCAGTGACCCACGACGATCTCCAGCGTCCAGTGCGGGTAACACCACAAAATATACCCGGAAAACCCCACAGGTATTTTTTCGGGGTTTACCCGGGTTTTTTGGCATTTTCTGCTTGCTGACCGCTGAACAACAGTAACAACAGTAACAACAGTAACAAACAGTAACAGCATGGGCTGGGGTGAACACTTGAACAACGTTAAGGATTTCAGCCAACACTTAAACAGCTTCTATATGCTATATCGGAGATTTGCGTTTAGGCACTAAGAGAGGCAGTCGGAGAGTCGCAGTCGCTAGTCCGGACGGAAAACGGAATCGGAAACGAATATAACACATTTGCATGTGGACGCCCCGCACGCACGAGACGACGACGACATGGGGAAGAGATACACGTGCTGACTTGGAAGAGGTCGCGAGATGTGCATGAAAGGTGCGCGGCCGCTTTCCACCCGTTTGTGCTGATGGCGTTTGCCGCGTGGAGAGCAAACGTGGGCGATTGGAGAATACAAGCCTCTCGCCGAGCAAGCTGACCGCCCGCCGGCCGCACCCGGGCCCCGTTAGCCCACATGCTGCCCGGACGGCTCCCTGGACGGCGGGGGCGGGGCGGCGCCGCCGTCTGCGTTGAGCTTGAACATCGGGTTGCGCCGCACCTAGCGAGAGAAACGAACCCGCGTCACAGACGAAGACGCGCGGGCGCAGTCTTGAGGCTGCGCCGCACCTTGTCAGCGTTGAGGGAGCGGCCGTCGATGAGGGGCTCGACCCCGGCCTCGCGCAGCTGCGTGGCGAGCGACTCGAACCACAGCGCGGAGGGTAGATCGCTGTACTGCGGCAGCTGCATGTGCACCTTGGGAAGGAGGGCGAGAGGCGCGTCAGCCGAGATGCGCAACCCCGCGGTGCCGATGTCCCCTCGCGGTGCGGATGTCCCAGAGTGGGGCACCTTGAAGGCGTCGAGCGAGCCTCGCTTCCTGTGCAGGTGGTGCAGCAGCTTCCAGGCAAGCGTGTCGTCGAACTCGCCATCCTGTCGGGCGCGGGAGGGCGCGGAGGGAGAGGCGGTGGGGAGGGAGGTGTGCGGGGGGCGGCGGTGTTGAGGGAGGTTGGTGGGTGGAGGGCGGGGGAGCGGAGGGCGGTGGGGTGGGGGGGCGGCGTGGAGGGTGGCGGCGGGGCGCGGGGGGGGTGCGGGCGGGGCGGCGAGGGCGGGGCGGCGAGGGCGGGGCGGCGAGGGAGGCGGAGACAGGTGCTGGGACAGGTGCTGCGCCTGCACCATCCGCAGCGGCAGCTCGAGATCCGAGACCTCGCCTACTCTCGGGCCACACCTCGGCGTGATCTCGGCAACTCTCGCGGCTCGAGATCGACACTTCGAGGCCGGACACTCGCCTCGCTCCAGCCGCCGCGCGCGGAACGCCTCGACGACGGTTGCGACGGGCGCCTGCGGGGAGGGTCCGGGAAGGCTCCGAGGGCGCCACGACGACGGTGGCGACATCATGAAGACACAAGCCGTGCGGGCGTGACTGCGGCATGTCCCGTCTAGTCGGAGCATCGCATGGGTACAAGGAGTGCGAACACAGCGAGCACCAGCTGAGCACCCTTCCTCTCGAGCGCCGGTCGGAGTACACCGGCCGCTTGCCCTCATCATCTAGAGTACATCATCTCGGGGCGGCGCGCCTCCGGCGGGGACCGCTCCAGCAAGAAGACGAGGTTGACAAGGTCGCTCGTCGCGCCTGCGGGGGAGCTCCGGGGAAAGGTCCGAGCGGGCTCCGGGAAGGCTCTAGGAGATACACAGAGACCAGACCAGGGCGCGGAAGTCGCGCCTGGACGGCCGTAGCCACACCTCCAATCTCGGCGAATCTCGGCGAATCTCGTCTTCGCCTGGGGGTCCGTAGCCGGAAGCGAGAGCCTTGCCCAACCACTCGAGCGCGCGCCACACCTTCTCGGGCCTGCGGGGCGGTTCCCAGAAGGCTCAGGGACGGCCCCCCACCAATACGAGCGCCCGCAGCTCACACACTTCTCGCGCCTTCTCGTGCCCGGCTGCTCCTCCCCCGCCGCCGCGCAGTCCGCCCGCGCAAACTTTGTCCCCGCGACGGCCTCGGCCTCGTGCGCCTCCAGCCCGAAGAGCCTGAGCACCGACGGCACGTGCAGCGCGCCCGGGCTGCGCCACTGCTCCCCCCCCAGCGAGCGGTCCACAAAAGCATACCACTGCTCGAGGCTGGCCGGCCGCGCGCGCGGGCAGCTCTCGAAAAAGGCGCGCAGCCGCTCGCGCGCGCGCTGGAGGCGCTGCTGGCCGTCCCTCGGCAGCCTGCCGTCGAGCTCCGGGTTGTTTATCAGAAACTCCGTCACGGACTCGCGCGCCTTGCGCACGACGAAGTCATCATAGCGCGACGAGGGGAGCACGCGGCCGAGCACCGAGCTGAGGTCGTCCATGCCGTCAATCTGGCGCATCAGCCGGGTGACGGCCACGGTGGAGGCCGGCCCGAACACCGCCACGTTCACCTGCACGCCCTGCGCGAACCGTGGCATCTCGTCGGCGTTGTAGTCGTGCAAGTTGAACGGCGGCGTCGCCATGCTGACTGGCGGCTCAAAAGAGGCGACAAGCCGGTGGAGCGTGTCGGTCAGCTGGCCGCAGACGAAGCAGCCGCGCGGGGGCCTGCTCGGCAGGGTGCTGCCGGCTCGAGACGCCGACGGGCCCATTCCGGCCGGTCCAGTCTTGTCCTGCCTTCGAAGAAGGGCCGTCCTGCCAGGAGAAAACTGCGGCTTTTCATGAATTCGTCACACCCCTCTCCGCTTAAAATCCCTGTGTGGTGGCGGCGTGCCGTCCTCCCATCCCTCCCTTGGTTCTCTGTTTTCTTTCTTTCTTTGTTTGGGCCCTCCCGTCGGGGTTTTCCTCTCTTCGCGCCTTACAAAAAAGACGGAAAACCAGGACGTCAACCCTCCCCGTCTGGGTGATCTGGTGCTTGTAGGGCTTGAGAGTGGCCTGCCATGTCACAGGAAGGACTGTGGTTGCAGGAGAGTACCACCAGCCATCACTTCAGTTGGTATAGTACCCCATGTTCACATCCACTGATTTCTTTTTAGTTTCCCATAAGTAGGGTAGGTAGGTAGGTAGGTAGGTCGGGGCACCGCAGGGGCTCGTCAGGTTTTTTCAGAAATTCAGCATACTGGCCACCCAAGCAAAAAATAAAATTGGCCGCGAGTCGAATTTCTTCCGTCTCGCCATGCCCTCTCGCCGCCGCCAGCCGCCCGTGGCGAGCGTCTGGGACATCGACGTGGCGCGTGCGGCCTTTGAAGCCTCCGGTCTCAAGCCCATCCACATCCGGCCGCTGCTCGGCTGGCTGCTCCGCCACCCAGAGGTGCAGAGCTGGGAGGACGTCGGCGCGCGCTGGGAGTCGGAGGCGCTGCTGCGCAACGTGCCGCTGGCGGCCAGGAAGCTGCTCTGCGCGCGCTTCGCCGTCTCGTCCTCCCGCGTCGAGGCGAGAGAGGACTCGGCCGACGGCGCCACCACCAAGCTGGCCGTCGCGCTGTCTGACGGCCTGCGCGTCGAGACGGTGCTGATGAGGCACGGCGGTCGGACCACCGCGTGCGTCTCGTCGCAGGTCGGCTGCGCGATGGGATGCACTTTCTGCGCCACCGGCACGATGGGCATCGTCGGCGACCTGACTGCGGGAGAGATCGTCGAGCAGCTGCTCCACGGCCGGCGGCTCGGCCTCAGCGGTGCGAGCGGCGGAGGCGGCAGCGGAGGCGGCGGCGGCAGCGGCGGCGGCGATGGCGGTGGCGGTGGCGGCGGCGGCGGCGGCGGAGGCAGCGCGGGCAGCGAAGGAGCAGGAGCAGGAGCAGCGACAGCAGGAGGAGTAGGGGCGGCAGCGGTGGGGAAACGCGGCGGCCGTCGAGGCACGGCCACAGAAGCCGCCGGGGGGCCGACGCCCGTGCGCAACGTGGTGTTTATGGGGATGGGCGAGCGAGCCGCTCCATCGTCGCGAAGCGCTGGCTCGGAGCCTTCTCGGAGCCTTCTCGGAGCCTTCCTGCAGGCGAGCCGCTCAACAACTACCGCGCGGTGACGTCCGCCGTGCGGCTGCTTACCGACGCCAGCCTCTTCGGCCTCCGCGCAAGCAGCGTGACCGTCTCGACTGTCGGCGTCGTGCCTCGCATGAGGAGCCTCCCCAGCCCCGCACCGCACACTTGCCACCACACATGTGACACGCCACCACATTGCACCACACTGCACCACACCACACGCGATACGCGCACACACACGCGGGAGAGGTTCCGAGCACGCGAGGATCGTAGGAGCTTCGCCGCCGACCTGCGCGGCGTCTCGCAAGTGTCTCGCAAGTGTCTCGCAAGTGTCTCGCAAAGTGTCGTAGGAGCTTCGCCGCCGACCTGCCCGGCGTCTCACTCGCGCTCTCGCTCCACGCCCCGACGCAGCACAAGCGAGAGGCGAACCACGCCGCGGCCACTCTCCTCCGCCGCTCTCGCCGCCCACGCCGCCGCCACCACGCCGCCGCCGCGCGCACTGCTCTTATGAAAGAAGAGTACGGGTTGATGCATCGTCCACTCACTCCTCAGGCAATCATGCCCGCCGCGCGCGCCTACCCGCTCCCGCGCCTGATGGGCGCGCTCGAGTCGCCGAGATCATCGCCGAGATCATCGCCGAGATCATCGCCGAGATCGTGCCGAGATCCGCCGCCTTGCCGGGAGGCGCCCATGGCGCGACACGCCTCCCCGCAGGCGCGCTCGAGGCGCACATGGCGGCGGCGCGACCGCACACGCCAACTTCGCGCGTGGCGATGGTAGAGTACATCATGCTGCGCGACGTCAACGACGCGGCGGAGGACGCCGATGCGCTCGCGGCACTGCTCTCGCCGCACGCGCACAAACTGATGGCGGGCCTGCTCCGGGACCCTCTGCCCACCTGGCCGCCTTGACAGCTCTCGTCTTCTCCCCAGGTGAATCTGATCCCGTACAACCCGACGGACGCCACGCCAGAGTACCGGAGGGCGACGGAGGCCAACACGAGCCGCTTCATGGCGACGCTGCGCGGCGCGGGTGTGCTCACGATGGTCCGCCGCTCGATGGGGGATCGCATCGCGGGGCGAGAACTTTCGCTGAAGCTTCTCGGAACTGCCCTGTAGGTCCGCCGCACGATGGGGGACGACATCGCGGGCGCGTGCGGCCAGCTCGTCCGGCAGCAGGAGCGCTTCTTTGCGTCGCGGCGGCGCGCAGGGGAGGAGGGGGACGCCTCGGGCAAGGGCGAGGGCGGGCGGGCCGGATCCTTCTCGCCAGGCGACATGGAGGATTTGTACGTGGCCGCCAACTCCGCCAGAACCGCGCGAGCCACCGCTGCCGCCGCGCCGCCGGCGCCAACCCGCATCGCTTCTCCTGCTCCAGCCCCCCTCTCTCCACCACCGCTCTCCTCCTTCTCCGCCCCGTCACGCCCGGCGGGCGGGTGCGACGGGGAGGGCTGCGACGGGGAGGTGCCGCCCGTGGCGGCTGCGGCGACGGACGGCGCCACGCTGTCGATTCGCAGAGTCGCACTCGCAGCCGCAACTGCCGCGGCCGCACTCGCAGCTTTGTGGGCCGCTGCGCCGCCGCTGGGAGCAGATGGTGAGGGCTGAGTGTAGCCACGCGACGGCTGCGGGTCTTGTGCATCCCCAAAACCATGCATGCACATGCAGCAGGTGTGTTGCTGTGTGTGCGCGTGCGTTTTCAGCCCCCTTGGTACATGGTAAAGGCCCCCTTTTGGCCTTTGGCTTTGCTCTCTACTGCTAGAGAGAGAGCTCAGCTGTTTTTATATTTTAACAGTGTTGCTAGTGTTAACAGTAACAACAGAACAACAGTGGGGCTCCCCAACAACAGTAGGGTAGCTAACGTTAGGCCGGCTGAACAACAATAAGGAAGGCCTGGCAGTGACCCACGACGATCTCCAGCGTCCAGTGCGGGTAATACACCCGAAAATACCGCCCGGAAAATCCCACATGTATTTTCGGGGTTTACCCGGTTTTTTTGCCATTTTCTGCTTGCTGGCCGCTGAACAACAGTAACAACAGTAACAAACAGTAACAGCATGGGCTGGGGTGAACACTTGAACAACGTTAAGGATTTCAGCCAACACTAGGGCAACTGTTAGGCCCAAAGTTAAAATGTTAAACAGCTCTAGCTACTGCCAACTCATACCTATCCAAGAACATCACACTCGCCGCACGTACGAGGACCGCTCCCATCGGAGTGTGCGGTTGTACCGCGAGGCTGGTATGCGGTACTGCTCGAGCACCACGCTGATGCGAGATGTTGTGGTGCCCGCCGCCGCGGGAGACGTGTGCCGCCGGACTCGATGAAAGGCGTCACCCCGAAACACGACGACGTCGCCCTCCCTTGGCGCCACAGCCGCTTCCTCGAGTGGCGCTTCCACACGCCTAGAGGAGAGGACAATGTGCTAGAAATCTCAGCGTCCGGGTCGGAATTAGCATAGCTGCGCATTCACACCGCATAGCCTCCGCGCTGGTGATGCCCTTCGCAACGTCGCCGCCACCAAGGTCGACGCGTCGAAGCTCCAACTGCCCGCCAGCCATAGCCGCTGGCACGCGTACATAGAGGACGTGCGTCGAGTGCGCCGCGTGCGCATCCGGAGAGAGAAGGCCGACCTAGAGCGCGCGGCAACGCTCATTATTGGCTGCCCAACACCCAAACCAACATCCTGGGTTCGAGTTTAATCCGCCTCGGTATCCATGTGCCACGGCACAGAGTCGACCCGGCTCCGCCTCGGAGAGCTCTGGCACTCGAGCACGCTCAGCACCCACGCGTTGGCCAACGGGTCCGCGAACGAGTCGACAACCGGCCCGAGGCAAGCCGCCCACTGGGCTGCGGCGGGGTTGGCATCGGTGCGGCCCCGGAGGATCTCTCGCCCCTCCGAGTTAAACTTGAGGACCAGACCGCGGGCGGAGCCGTCGCCGTGCATCGTTGCGGAGGGGTGCTCGCGGAGTAGTGTACGTGCGCACTCCGACACGTTGAGATCAGCAGGGGCCGCCTCTACAGAGTAGAGAGGTTTGGCATCGCTTGACGTAATTACCAGATACCTTTCCACCTCTTCATCCGGCGACAGGACTTGCCACAGGAATGCGAGGATGATTAGGGCGCCGGCGATGGAAAGGGAGGACTGCGGAATGGCGCCTGAGGCTACATGCACATCCAGCGCTGCGGGCGCTGCTATGGGACGACGCGTTGGGCGCTTTCGGGATCCCATGCTCCAGCGTCGGGTGGAAGCTCAGGGCGTGCCCGTGTCGGACAATTGCCCAGTGCCTTGCTCTGAGCGGATAGCAGCGGACAAAAGGACGGGCGGGGCGAACGCGACGTCGAGCGACGCGCGTCCCCAAAGCCCGAGTCCGCTCGCGGCGACCCCCCTCCCCCCACCCTCCCACCCTCCCACCCTCCCACCCTCCCACCCAACCCCACCATTAAGGCGTGGGCTAGTAAAGTAGAACAGTCAAATGGCACTGACAGATGCTCTCCGGCGGAGGCGGACAGCCGACGCCACAGCAGAGGGCAAACTCGTAGTCCGCCTCCGCCGGAGAGCATCTGAGGGAGGGTGTAGAGGATGTAGAGTGTAGAGCGCTGTAGAGCTGTAGAGCTGGAGAGTGCTGTAGAGCTGTAGAGCTCTACATCCACCGCGTGACGAGGCGGGTGCGTTGTAGAGCGATGTAGAGGCGCTCTACAACGTGAAATCTCTACAACAAACTCTACATCATAAGCGGCGAACGAGGCACGGTCGCTCTCCGACATGAGGCGCGTTGCACTTACCAGTGCTGCCCTGGCCTTCTGTCTGCCCGCCCAATGGGTGGGAGGTGCCTCTGCTGCTGTGGCATGCCTCACGGCTGCGACTGGCCGGCGCCTCGGCGCGTCAGCTCGGCTTGGCGTAGCGATCGTGGCCAGCGCAACTCGCCTGGACTCAACGCTCAGCCAGGAGCTCCCGCACGCGCTGGCGCGAGTCATGGCGCATGCAACGCGTCTGAATGCTCGCCTCGCCTCGCGCAAATGCGACCGTCCTCGCAGCCGATAGTCCACCGCCTGCTAAAGAAGCACAGCGACGAATGCGGCACCGGCGACGCATGGCAGGCTGGTCATGACGCAGTTATAGGGTGTTGTGTGCCGTCAGAGTGACCGTCTCTGTGTGTCAGGGATAGTCAGGGCCGTCCATCAGAGCTCCAGTAAGCTCGGAGACACCCCATTAGTGCGACTCGACCTCTTTGAGTCACTGCCTTCCCGGCGGTTTGGCTGTAGAGCCTCTACAACAAACTCTACAGCAAAATCGCGCTCTACATCGCTCTACAACGCACCCGCCTCGTCACGCAGCCGATGTAGAGCTCTACAGCTCTACAGCGCTCCAGAGCGCTCTACATCTCTACAGCTCTACAGCGCTCTACAGTTCCGGACGGGCATTAAGAACCTCTAACGTTAAGAACCTGAGGCTCATATTTCGGCCGGATCCCTAAGAACTCCCTAAGAACCTGAGGCTGGGCCAACGCCTGCAGCCGGCGCCCCTGCCCCCGCGGCCGCAGCCGCAGGGGCAGCTCACGGCAGCGAATGACTCTCTTGTCACGCCATGCGCGAACTTACTGTTCCAAACTTCCAAACTGTTTTAAGACCCATTTATTGATTTTTAATCGAAGCCGAAACGGTTTAAAAAACCATCCACCCGGTTAAGAACCTGAGGCTCGGCCCCCGACGGACCGCCGACTTAGCTAAGAACCTGAGGCTGGGCGAAGAACCTGTGCGTTCTTAATGCCCGTCCGGAACTGTACACTCTACATCCTCTACACCCTCCCTCAGGAGAGCATCTGTCAGTGCCATTCACGTGCAGCTCCCGCTGGAGTGAGCGTTTGAGAGCGTCTCGCGCGCGCGTGAACAGGGCGGCTGCAGGATTCGGCCCCGCCTGCTGCGAGTGCCCTGCTGCCCTCCCGCTGAGGTATCCATCGTATTTACAGTGCGTCGGCAGGATCCCCAACCACAACCAAAACAGGTCCTCCAAACGCCCCAAACGAATTCGACCGCTCAAAGCTGCCCCCCCCCCCCCCCAAACGTACTTTAAACGACCATAAACTTCAGTCTCCAGGGGCTCCAGGCCCCAAATGATGTGTGAGTGTTAGAGCGTTTGCGCCGCGCACGATGACATGTGGTGGCTGGCTGGTGCGCCCCGCCCGCGGCGGAGGACGAGGCTGGGGCTCTGGGGCGCCAGGAGCTGAGGGAGGGTGTAGAGGATGTAGAGTGTAGAGCGCTGTAGAGCTGTAGAGATGTAGAACGCTCTGGAGAAGCGTCACCTACATCCTCTACACCCTCCCTCAGCGCCTCTGGCCAGGAGCGTCACCTTCCTTGCCTTGCCAGCCAGCCAAACAAACAGCGTAAGGAGAGAGGCCGTGTCCTCACAACGATCCCCATAAACGAATAGAGCAGTCATCTCCAGGAGAGATGGGCGACGCACGAACACAGAGGCACAGTGCGCACCCCGCCCCGCTCACAGGGCGTGCAAGACCCATACTTCTCTCATTTTTGGTTCGCACGGACCACCACTGCAGCGGAGAGAGTTTTGCTTGCAGGCTCGCTCCCTCGCGCTTGCGCGGCGCCTCGCCCCTCGCCAACCGCCACGCCCCCTCCTCCTCGCCCCGCGCCGCTCGCTCGCCGCACCCCGCGCCCGGCCCTTGACACGCCCCTCCTCCGCCCGCAGCGCCTCCATGCCAGCAAAGTCGCAGCGCGCGCCCGTGGTCGAGGTGGTCGACGACAAGGCGCTGTCCTACACGCCGGGCACGCTCAAGGACATCCGTCAGTCAAAGTACCTCATCGACCTGGGCGGTGGCGATCAGTGGGTCGACTGGCAGCGAGTCAGAGAGGCGGCGCCGCCGTGCACCGAGTTTATCCCGCAACCGGTGCGCGCCTCCTCGCGCCTTGAAAAGCCGCGCACGCACGCTGCCTCCTAGCACATGCGCCCCACCGAGAGTGGGTTCGTGAGCCGGCTTGTGGCGAGGTCGCCCCGTGCTCTCGCTGCACGAGTACCGCTTCGGCTCATACCGGCCCACGAGGAGAGGCGGAGCCCACGGGAGGAGCCTCTGCAGCTCCTGCGAGTAAAGGGCTCCGAGACGGTTCAGGGCAGGGTCATAGCCTCCAGAGCCCCTGTAGCAAGGGGGGGGGGGGGGGGGCGCAGCCTTCTCGCACACCCTTCTCGCAGCGCACTCCTGCTCGCCTCCGCCGCAGGACTCGATCATCGAGGTTCGCAAGGCGGGGGCGGAGGAGGTCTGGTTCGAGGCCAAGGTCAAGTCGGTCAAGGGAGGCTACACCGTCGCCGTCTTCCTCGGCAGCGGCGGTGGCGAGGAGATAGTCGAGTGGCCACACTTCCGGCCCGCATACTCGAGGGTGGCGCCGGCGCGCTCGCGACCGCCGTTCGTCAAGCAGGTCTTCCAGCGAACCGACTCTAACCCTAACCTTAACCCTAACCCTAACCCTAACCCTAACAAGCAGGTCTTCCAGCTCACCGACTCGCGCGTCCACGAGTGGTTCAAGGCGAACGAGCGGCTCTCGGCCCCTCTCGGCTCATCTCGGCTCATCTCGGCTCATCTCGGCGTCCAGGGGCGGTGCGAGGCGACGGGGCGGCGGGCTGACCGCTGTTGTGTTTCTCCGCCGCAAGGCAAACGAGCAGCGCGTCGTCTCGGACGTGGTCTCCAAGTCGAAGGTGCTCGCGTTCGAGGTGGACCGCGACGTGCACCAGATCAAGCTGCTCGGCGCGGAGAAGGCGTGCGCGACCGCCAAGATGCTGATCGAGCTGCACGGCAAGCACGTCGGCGACATGGCGCGCGTGCACTCGGAGCGCGAGCAGCTCTCCGCCAAGCTGCAGCACGAGCGCGAGCGGCTGATTTCGTCCTTCCGGCTCGAGTTCCCCGTCGACAAGGAGCTGATCGGGCTCGTCGTCGGCAAGGGCGGCGCGACGGTGCGCAGCGCGCAAAAGGCGGCCGACGAGGCCCGCGCAGGGGGGCACCGAGATGGCCCCGAAGCTCACCGCGAGATTGCGCGAGAGTAGGCGGCCGGCGTCGACAAGGTTGAGGTGGACCCGGATGGCCCGCGCGTGGTGATCGTCGGGCCGTCGCAGGAGTCGATCGAGGCGGCGCGCGAGCTGCTCGAGTTCGTCTCGCGCCGCGTGCCCGTCGAGCAGGAGCGGTCAACACACGCGCACACACGCAGTCTCTCCCCCCCCCCTCTCTCTCTCTCCCCCCCCCCCTCTCTCTCGCTCGCTCCCTCCAACCGACGTCTTTCCTCCGCCCGTCGAGCAGGAGCAGATCGGCTGGCTGATAGGGAAGGGCGGCCGAACCTTCAAGGAGCTGCAGGAGAAGACGCAGGCGCCGCACCGCCCGTCGCTAGAGAGACAAGGCTGCGCCGTGCTCGCGCACTCAGCCTTCTCGGAGCCTTCCTTCAGGTGACGCGCCTCTCGATCGACAAGGCTGCGGGCCAGGTCGCCCTCGTCGGCTCGCGCTTCTTGACCGCCGTCCTTCCCCCCCTGGCTCACCAGCTCCTGCTTGCTTCAGGTCGTGCTCGTCGGCACGCGCACGGCCGTCGACTCGGCCCTCGCCTACATGGACACGCACCTCCAGTACCTCTCCGAGTTCGAGCACGAGGCGAGGGAGTCGGAGCGGCTGCGGCGCGAGCTGCGCGGCATCACGCTGCAGGAGGAGGACGAGATGCTCCCAGATCGCTCGAGATCGCTCCAGATCACCCGAGAGGACCTGGAATCGGCCGAGGTCACCCGAGATATGACCCGCGGCGTCTCCCTGCAGGAGGACGACGAGCCCGCCGCCCAGTCGGCGCGCGGGAAAGGCCGCGGCGGCCGTGGCGGCGGCGAGAGCAGGGGCCGCGGCGGCAAGGGCGGAGGTAAGGGCGGCAGAGAGTCGGCGGCGCGCGAGGCTGCCAACGGCACCGCCAACGGCAACAGCGCCGCTCAAGCCAACGGCGCCGCGCCCCGCGCCGCTGCGAAGGCGGCGGCGGCGGACGGGGACGCGGGCGGAGGGGCGGCGGCGAAGCCTCGTGGCAGCGGCAAGGGGAAGCCCGAGGCGCGCAACGGCGACGCGGCTCGCGGGCCCCCGCCAGAGCAGCACGCCAACGGGCGCGCCCTTAGAAGCGGGGAGAGGACGGATCTGTCTCCCGACTGGCGCTGGCGTACACACGTGTTCAGCTGCCGCATTCCGCTCCTCGCAGCCCTTGTATGCACGCTGTGCTCCGGATACACCGCACAGGTGCTGCATGCCCCGCCCTCAGCCCCCCGGGTCGTACACCAGGCACGCCGCCGAGGAGGGGAACAGCGAGGCGCCGAGTCGCGAGTCGGGAGGAGGCAAGGGCAAGGGAGGGCGCGGAGGCGGCGGCAAGGGACGGGGCGGACGGGGCAGCGGACGCGGAGGCGGCGGCGGTGGGGTGGGCGGCGCGGCGGACGCGCCGGCGGCGCCGCCGCCTGCGTCTGCGGCAGAGGGCGTCGCAGCTGCGGCGGCGCAAGCGCCGCAGCCGCAGCGCGCTGGAGGGCGGTCGAGGGGCGGCCGGGGCGGCGCGAAGGAGGGAGGCCGCGGCGGCGCTTCCCCGGCGGCAGAGGATCAAGGGCAGGGCCGCAGCAGTGCGTGAGGGCCGCGTGGGCGCGCGGCGCGTGTGCGAGAGCGCGTGCGCAAGAGCGCCGCCGCCCCTCGCGGCGCGCTGCCGGCGCGCTCGACGCCGGAGCGGGCAGCTGTTTGGCTCCTTGTGTGTGTCGATTTCAGCTGCGATGGAGTGTGTGTAATGGCGTTGGTGGGTCAAGCGCCCCGCGCCGGCCTCGATCCGGGCAGGGTTTGAGCAAATTGAGGCGAATCCGAAAAGCGCTATCCGTAGGCTCCAAGCGCTCGCGGCGCGCTCCTGTAGAGAGCGGTCTCGGTCTCGCTCCTGGCGCTCCTCGCTTTCTTGCTCTCTTCACGAATCACACCGAGCATCAGCATGTCCGCGGAGACTTGAAGTTCATATTGGCGGGGCATGTGGGACCATGTTTTGATAGTTCGAATCAGTGGTGCGCAACTATTTGACTCTCTCTCGGCTCTCCGGTCGTGTCTCCGCTCGCTCGCTCGCGCCCCCCTCTTATGCTTATCGCTGCGGGTTACCCCCTGGCGCTGGGTCATCTGCCAGAGGGTGAGGCGGCGCCTCGCTCGCCGCGCGCCGCGCCTTGCGCCCGCAGCGCGCGCAGTCGCAGTGCCGCCATCGATGGCGGGCCGCTCGGCGCCGCCCGTGCCGAGGGGGAGGCGGTCCGACTTCTCCCCGGCCCTCCTTCTCCTCCCCCCCGGTTGCGTCGCCGCAGCGCCCGCCCCTCGCGGCACGGCGCGCGGACCTTCTCCTTGAGTTTGAGGTAGTCGTAGAGGAGGTAGACGAGCGTGGCGGTGACGATCAGGGCGGTGGGGATCGTGAGGTGGGCGTCGCCCTCAAAGAGGATGTGCGAGTAGATGGCCGTGGTGACGTGCAGGGCCACGAGGGACAACATAAAGTACGCGTGCAGCCGCCAGTACTCTGTCCGCATCACTTGCACGGCGCGCGCCATCGAGCCCTCGGGCCCACGGAGCGCGAGCCCGGGGATCCGAATGGACATCTGCGTCGCCTTTACAACAGCGGCGAGGCCGGCGACCATGTTTAACGCGTTGAACGTGATCCACGCCATCTTGATTTGGAACGCCGTCTCTCCGCCCATGGAGCTGCCCGTCACGTCGGACCGCGCCTCGACCATCTTATCAAAGCCAAAGAGCGCGAACAGCGCTGCCTGCGTCCCCATCGCGAAGCAGTTCTGCGTAAAGTACTCGAGCTCCTTCTCGTCGATGCGGAGGAGCGAGAGCGTGAGCTGCCGCTGCAGGTCCTGCTTGTCGGCGAGGATCATGTGGTCGGCGATTCGAGCTCGTGGGGTGCGCGAGCACAAACCGCGACGGACAACTAAGGTCGGCCAAAAAGGGGCCGCCGGTTTACACACGCTGTTCACACAAAAACGCTCTTCACGTAAACGCACAACCCCGGGCAGTAAACACACAACCCCGGGCCCGAAATCGCACAGAGACAGTCACGCAACACGCTGTTCACAGCCTTGTTATTGAGAAGAAAATACGTCCTATGGCGCTGTGCGCTGGTCTGTGAGAGGTTTGAGGTGCGAGCCCTGGAGGCCCTGGGGTTCACATGCATGTGAACGCACAACCCCGGGCCCGAAATCGCACAGAGACAGTCACGCCTATGGCGCTGCGCGCTGGTCTTTCACAGAAACGCACAACCCCGTCGCACACCTGGCAACCCTGTCTGCACGTCTCGCGCGCGCGTGAACAGGGCTCCAGGCCCCAAATGACGTGTGAGTGTTAGATTTGTTTGGTATTGCTAAAAATCTCTCTCACGCTGGTCTTTCACAGACCTGTTATTGAGAAGAAAATGCGTGCCATGGCGCTGCGCGCTGGTCTACGAACACTAACATTCTTCTGGTGTATGAGAGGTTGTATGAGGTGCGAGCCCTGGAGGCCCTGGGGATGGGGTGAGACTACCCGCGGGCCTAAGAAGGCCCGCGCGCGCAGGGGGGTGGAACATTGGAGACCGGTCATGAATGAGTGAGCGACATGTTGCGAGCAACGTTGTTGATGTTTCTGCGCGTCGCCACAGACGGCGGTGTGTGAGAGCTGTTGCGAGTGGTGCTGGGCGAAGCCCCGGGCGCTGCCGGAGGCTGTGCCGTAGTCGGTGCGGTCGACGGCGCTCGGGCTGCCGACCTCTTCACAGACCTTGTTATTGAGAAGAAAATACCTCCATGGCGCTGCGTGCTGGTGAGAGGTTGAGTTCATCACACGCACGGACAGTGTTCGAGAACGAGGAGACAGACAGAGATCGACTAGTTAGTCAGACATGCAACGCTGAGTCCCACGTTCACGCAAAAACGCGAGAGAGCGTGGGATAGGTCGGACGTCTTGGAATTAAGGTCATTCACGGGTGTCCGCGGCCCCACTCTGTGCCCGCTGGTAGGACAGTGATCGCCGCAAACCCTGTGGTCAGCTCCATGTGATCTCGGATAGTTTTGTAGAGGCACCGGAACACCAACAAAAAAACTAGTATGTCTTCGAGGGAAAAGTAATCCGAGCAAAGATCTCTAAGATGGCGTGCCGTGGTGTGGCATCACAAACAAAGCTAACACTCACTCTCCAACTCAAACTCCTCCGCCATCGGCGCGTCCGCCACCACGACCGCGTCGTCCTTCTCAAACGAGTAGCCCGCGAGCGGCCCCTCCTGCACGCCCGCCAGCGCCAGCCGCACCGCGTCAAAGGCGGGGTCGTCGAGGGCGGCGCGCACCGTCTCCTCCGGCGTCGGCCCCTCGCGCACCACCGTGACCGTGCCGTCGGGCAGCCGCACCTGCTTCTCGTCGCCCACCAGGTCCTTGCCCGCCAGGACCAGCTTGAGGAGCGACGGCGAGAAGCCGGAGAGCAGCTGCGTGTTGGGCGCGTCGGCCTGCGCCGGGAAGCCCACCGTGTTCCCGCGCAAGTTCCAATAGATGATGCGCGGCGCGGCGTACGGCTCGCCGCACACCGCACGCCCCACCTCGGCGAACCGCCGCGTCAGCCGCTCGTGGTGGGTCTCCCACGACGCGACGCGCCCGGAGCGGCCGTACATGCAGCTGTGCGCGCCCCTCGCCTCGTTGAACTGCATGTCGGAAAAGACGATCAGGTCGGGCACCTCGTCCGGCTTGAGGCGGGCGCTCTCCGCGCAGCCCAGGATCAGCTCGCACGCCGACTCAAAGTCGGTCGAGCCGCCCCAGCTGGCACCCTGCAGCGCCCGCACCTTGGACGCCACCTTGCCTGCGCCGTCGAGGTTCACCCAACGAGGGCTCGACTCGAAGGTGATGGCGCGGTTGCGGAAGGCGGGGTGGGACAGCTCGGCAACCACCAGGCCGAGGCCGATGGCCGCCTCCATCGGCGTCCCCGTCATCGACGCAGACACGTCGACCAGCGGCACGAGCTTGCCGAGGTCGACCGGCTTGGGCAGCGCCGCCCGCAGCGCCGCCACCGCCTCGAGCGGCGCACCCTCCCCCGCCGCCTCGGCGACCGCCGCCTCGCGCGCATTTGCCGCGGCCGCCATCGCCTCCTTGACGCCCTCGCGCATCGCCTCCCACTGCGCGTGCATCAGGTCCGCCTCGAGGGTCGACAGCTCGGTACGGCCGCCGCGCATGCACTTTTGCGCGATCTCGTGCGGATACAGCTGCTTGCCCTTGACGGCCTTGGCGCCCTTATCGAGGAGGGCCTTGCGCAGGTTGCGCCGCGCCGTCACCCGCTGCTCGTCCTCGGGGTGGCGGTTGCCCGTCTCCTCCTGCGCCGCCATCAGCGTGCCCTTGAGCGCCTCGTTGAGGAAGGCCTTGCGCGACCGCTGCAGGCAGAGGGACGAGCGCCGCGCGAACTCAATCTCCGACCAGCGGTTGGCCGCCATCAGCACCTCGGTGGTGAGGAGGGCGCGGTTGAGGGCGGCGACGAGCTTGCGGTACTTGCGCGCCGACGCCGCGTCGTTCTTGCTCCCAAACAGGCATCTGGAGAGCCGCTTGGCGAGGCCGTCAAAGGCGGAGCCCTCGCGGGGCGCGTACTTGCCGGCCAGGGTGAGGTTCGGGGTGCGCGCCTCCTTCTCGGCCGCCTCGATCTCGGCCGCGTCCTTGAGCAGCTGGTCGGCGAGGAGCGACAGCGCCTTGTCCTTGACCGCCGCGTCGATCCCAGCGACGCCCTGCATGAGCAGGTAGTCCTTCCAGTAGCCAAAGTGCGGCACGAGGTGGAGCGTCGCCATCGCAGCCTCGACGGGGAGGGCGGCGAGCAGCTTGTAGAAGAGGTCCTTCTCGCCCTTGCCCATACCGCGTGTCGCGCGGGTCTGGAAGGCGAGCACCGTCAGATCGGCGAGCTCGGCGGGCTCGGCGGGCACGGCGGCGGTCAGCGAGGCGAGAGAGTCGTCGGGCAGCGAGCGGACGAGCTTGAAGAAGAGGGCGACGAGCGGGGAGCCGGCGTCGGAGTGCTCGAGCGCGCCGTTCTCGCCGGGCGTCGTGGAATTCCTCATCGCGAAGGCGGAGGAGCAGGAGGGGGACGTCCACCGGTTGAGTCCAGGTCGTGTCCGAAGGAAGGCCAAACCACGGGACCCAGGCAGCGGAAGCCGCCACAAGTGTACGGGGCACGGTGCGCGAGGGCTGAATATAAGTCGTGTGCGAGGGAGAGGGTCAGCAACCAAACAGGCATTCATTGGAGCCCCTCAAACAAATGACCTTGTGGCGAAATTGGTATACGCGCCGGCTTGCTAAGCTTGTGCCCTCTGGGCGTGCAGGTTCGATCCCTGTCAAGGTCGTCTTTGTTTTTTTTTTCGTGCCCACCTGCACGCTGCACACGCCTTCCTTGAGACAAAGAATAAAATGGGTGGTGGTCTGCCCCGCCCGCCCCAGCTAGCTAGCCGTCGGTCGGCGCAGCGGCGGGCATGCAGCGTCTCGTTGGATGGTTGGTGGTCACCCTGCCGGCCGAGTGAGGCTTTCCCTCTGTGTGCTCTTTCTTAGTGCCAACAACCGCGCGCGAGAAAGAGAGAGAGAGAGAGAGAGAGAGAGAGAGAGAGAGAGAGAGAGAGAGAGAGAGAGAGAGAGAGAGAGAGAGAGAGAGAGAGAGAGAGAGAGAGAGAGAGAGAGAGAGAGAGAGAGAGTACATTGCGTACATTGCAGGACGCAAGCCTTCAACAGCCCCGCAGGTGCAGCGTGGGTTTCGGAAACGCGTTTCGCGGCTAGACTTCACCATCGATCAAAGCACATACACTTTAAGACCACCTGCGTGGTGAGTGGAGTCACAAATAATGACGCTCACTCACACGCTGCCAGCGATCATTGTGATGCGGCAGCCCGGCATTCAGACGAGCGTTTATCGCAGCGACAATGCGGAACGGAAGGCGGTGCGTGCGACTGCCGCCGCCGTGCAATCTTCCACTTGGAGCATACTCCACGACCTCGGTGCTCTACCACAGCCGTAGCTCTGGTCCCACGGCTCCACCCGTGAGTGAGGGCAGAGCATCGTGAGGGCAGACGCACGATCGCGAGGAGACGCGCTCCCACTCTTGCACAATGTCACTAAATCACGAGGCCATGTTGCCGCAGGTAAGTTGTCCAAGCCCCACCACATCGCTCTCTTCTCCCTTGGTGCTCTTAGGCGCGTGGCGTGCGCCGGAAACGGTGGTCGCTCGCGCGCCTGCGACCAGCTGACCGAGGCGGGCAACGTGACGAGAGTCTTGTCGGCAGAGTTGCAGGTGGCGCGCAGAACGCTAGCCGTCGACGATGGCAGGCACTTTGCTGCACCTGGCTCTTTCATCATAGGTCGAAGATGGGCTCAATTACGCCATTGCGGCGGAGCTTGAGTCCGCAGCCATCGTCTCCTTGAGGGTACACGAGCAGGCGTGCCTGCAAGCTTAGCAGACTGCAGCCTGAGATTCGCAGCTTGCGGATGGAAGCCTACTCATCGATCAATCTATAAACTCCCCCAGGGCTGGACCCAAACGCTCGAGCTCGTCTCCGCCTCGATTGCTGCAAAGCGTGACGCCACGAGCGTGGCTCTCGGGAACGGCTCCACCCTCGCCCTCGGCGGTGCAGCCTTTGCAAGCTTCTACAGGGCGAGGTTACGCAGCTATCATGCGAACAAGGCGGCGCAGACGCAGGCCGACTGGGGCACGGTCAAGCGGCGGGGCCTCCCGCGGACGTGGCGGCCAGGAGATAGCCTCACACCGGAGCGAGACGGCGCGAAGGCTTCGTGTGGCGTTCCATCCAGAAGAGAGACGAGGAGGAGCCTCTCTCGACGCAGTGGGCGAGAGGAGAGCTGCACACCGATGCCATGGTGGACGAATAGGAGAAGGCGCCGTGGCATCGACGCAGCTCCTCTCTTTTCTACGATGTGCCCCACCCCGGAACCGAACGCCTCTGAAGGCCCAAAAGCCACTCGGAATGGGCGCAACCAACGCCATCAGGTGCTGCGACTCCTTCGGGCTGGACAGAATGGCGACGGCGAGTGACTCGGCGACGACGGCTGATCTGTGCAAGGTGAGGGTGTACGCTCCTTCCCTGCCCCCAATCGTCGTCCCAAGGGCGACTTGCCCCCCCCTCTCTCTCTTCTCCCGCTCAGGCCATCGGAGCCCGGCTTGGCGCCGCGGCGCTATGGGCTCGTATAGGTGCCACTCGCACCCGCCCTAGCGTTCCGAAGCGCTCAAACTGCCTTCTACGAGCCCACACTCCGAACTGGCGGATGACTGCGAGAGTGGGACTCTCGTTGTCTAAAGGTCAAGAGCTCTCGTTCGGCCGTGGCATCTTTCTGGTCTCCGAATTGACAGCCGCATCCGACGCGGTGGTCGACGCGGCGCTAGTGCAAGCGGCAACGGCGAGCAGTCAGCAGGTGGGCGGCGCACTTTGCCCGTAGACTAGAGTGGTGTTTCGACACGTACCTACTCTGTGGCGCCCACCCCTGCTAGTGGTCAAAGCCGAGAGTCGAGGGCCTAACACCGCGCCCTCAGGAACGGAACCAGCTCAAGGAGAAACTTTGCCATGCACTAACCGAAAGCGGATGAATGGGAAGGAATGCCGAATTTGGTCTCTCGGTCTCGCGCCAGACCATAGTCTGAGGGTATCCTAAAAGTTCGGCCGATTTGGGTCAAAACGCTAAAAGCACGGCTAGCCGTAGATTTGGGGCAAAACGACAAAAGTGGGCCCGCCCGGGGCAAAATGGTAAAAGTCGCGCCGCCGCAGGCGCGCGAAAATTTTGGACATTCTACTCTCCGGCGAATGCCACTAGCCCCCCCAAGCCGGCAGATGGTCGGCAGCTGCAACCAAGCCAGCGGGTGAAGTGTTGTGGGAGGATGCGTCCTTATGTGTCACAAACTTGTAGCGCTACATGTTTGGACACACACCGGCGGGCGCTTTCGAGGGGCGAGCGGCAGCATTTTTTTAGCCATAGTGTGCGGGAACTACTTGCCGTTGCGGGACGATAGCTAGTTAGTACTTGCTGCACCCGGCGCGCAGCGCCGAAGAAATTTTTGAAACATGCTAAAAGTTGGGCGCTCCGAGACGACCAAAGTGGTAAAAGTCGCACTCTCCCCTGACCCGATCAAAAGCGTAAAAGCACTCGAGGCTCCAGAAACCAATACCTAACCCTCAGACCGCTATGCGCCAGACTGTGCAGAGTGCGCGTTGTCTGGCGTTCTCTACCTCGCCTCGCCCCGCCGGCGGCGGAAGCTCTCACAGTTACCGCAGCAAGACTGACACAATATGGAATGTAGCAACCTCTGAGCCGTATGTACACATAAACCGCGACAACTCCCTCTCACACACAGAGAGATAATGAGATACGAAAACACACCTCTCAGCGCTCGCCAGCTTGCTCGGCTCCCAGCAGCTCGTCCAGCGCGCCCGTCAGCGCGCTCTCGTCCCTCTGCGTCGCCGGGTCCCAGCGCGGGTGCGCGTAGTCGGGCGTCGCAAACGAGAGCTCGTGCCCATCCGGGTCCTTCACGTGGAAGCAGCGCTCTCCCCACGGAGCGTCGCGTGGACAGGGCGCGTCCAAGCCGGCCGCCACGAGCCGTGCCTGCAGACTATCCACGTCGTCCACAAAGATGACGGCCCTGCCCCATCCTCCAGGCACGCCCCGCTGCGGCGGAGGCGGGAGGTAGGCAGGCGCGTGGACAAGGTTGACGTGCAGCCGATTCGTCGCCGCCGTGACGGGTGCTTCGGCCGAGAAGGTTGTGAATTCGGCGTCTGGCCCGCCAAACGTCGCCGTCAGCCCGAGTTTGGAGTAGAAGCCGCAGCTCCTCCGCATGTCGCCTGAGGCAGGGCGGGCTTGACGCGTCCCCGCGGCACGAGAGCAGTGTTGATACTCCTAGCAGACACCGACATATGGTGTGCCGGGGTGCCGGCACGTGTGCTAGCAGATGGGCGCTCACGAGTGCATAGCGTGAGAGCGTTGATCGAGAGCAACTTCATCCTGCACGTTGCTGTCGTCCTCGACCCGAGCCGTGTTCGCGTGCAGCTTGGGGCGGATTTTTCTTTTCTCTGACTCGCGGGCTCTCCTTTAAACAACTTTGTAAAAAAGAAACAAGCTGCGCGCGCACACTCGGCCGTCGTATCGCACACATCGTCTCATGCAACGCACGCTCGCGCTGCTGCTGGCCTTCGCGTGCACCGCTCTGCTGCTCCTGCGGGAGCAGCGGCGTTTCGTCCTCGCGACCAGTCCCGGCGGCTCGGCAGCCCTCGAGGCGTACTGCGGAGCTCCGCCTCAGGGTTCGGAGGGCAAGGTCACAGCAGACGGCCTGAAGCTCGTCGGCGTGCTCGTCACGATTCGGCACGGCGACCGCTCGTCGATCCACTCGCTTCCCAACACGAACACGACTGCTCGCTGGATGTGCCGGCCGGTCGGTAGCGAGCAGAAGCAGGCAGCGGCGCAGGTGGCGGTGGTCGGCCTGGACGGCAGCCCTTTCTACCGCCCTCTGCTGCCAAAGACGCTTCCCGGCCGGCACGGCGACTGCGCTCCCGGCCAGCTCACGCCGCGCGGCTTTGCGCAGCACGTGGCGCTCGGCAGGCACGCCGTTGACAGATGCCCGATGCGTCCGGACAGCAGTGCACGAGCCTCACACCGAATGACACGCTGTTGGGTCCGAAAATTGCTATGCCAGCCCCCGCCGCCGAGTGTACCGCACTAATCACTCCCACGCTGCTCCAAGGCACCTCGGCCGCTCCTTTGCGCCACTGCTCCGACAGGCTGCGGCGGAGAGGCGCGCCGACACCCACACTGGGGAATCTCGGCTGATCTCGGCTGATCTCGGCTGATCTCGGGATCGAGGCGCGCCAACAGCTCGCGCGTCGGTGTGTATGTGCGCTCCACCGACTACACGCGCACTCAGATGTGAGCGGCAGCTCTCTGCTTCCGACTCTGTGACACGGCGCCTCTTCACGGCGCAAGCTGTGAACAGGTCGGCGGCAGCCTTCCTCTACGGCCTCCTGCCGCCGACCCTCCGCCCTCCACTCGCTCCGCCGACGCGCATACACACGGTGGTCCTCCCTCCACCGCCAGCTGTCCACCACACCCCTCTCTCTCCCGACACACACTCGCTTGCCCCTCCACGCCCAGAGCCCGCCGCCGACGCACACGGCATACGCGGTCAGGACTCGGGACTCCCAAGGCGCCGCAGCGCCTAGCGCAGGGGAGTGGGGAGAGAGGCTGACGGACGGGCTGTGCCCTCGCCCTCAGCGCGCGGACGAGGCGGCGGAGGTGATGCACGGCGTCGGCCTCGCCTCCTCCTCCAAGGTCGGCAGCGAGGACGGCGGTGGCGAGACGGAGCGGCAGGGCGCATGCGCCCTGGCAGGCAGCATGGCGCGGGCTCAGCAGGCGGCGTGGTGGGGCAGCCTCGGCTAACCTGGGCTGATCTCGGCCAATCTCGACGTGTTGCTCAGCAGGCGGCGTGGCGGGGGGACGACGGCGCGAGGGACGAACTTGGAGGCTTACTCGGGGAGGAGGCGCGGGCGATGCCGCCGACTCACGTCGCCGACGCGCTTCACTCGCTCTCGTGCCACGGGATGCCGCGGCCTTGCTCGCAGGCGCGCCGTGTTTCTTTTCTGTACTCACACACGCACACCGACCGTTGTGTGTGTGTGTCCCCCCCCTTCCCCTCTCCCTCGCCTTCACCTCTCCTCCCCCCCTTGCTCGGCGCAGGGCGGATGCGTGAGTGCGGCCCTGGCGGCCTCCTTCCGCCTGATGGGAGACAGCGCCTACTGCGCGCGGTGCGGCAATTTCGGGTCATCTCGGTCATCTCGGGCGATCTCGGGCAAGAGCTCGGGTGAATCTCGGGTGATCTCGGGCGATCTAGGGTCATCTCGGGCGATCTCGGGTCATCTCGGGTCATCTCGGGTCATCTCGGGTCATCTCGGGTCATCTCGGGTCATCTCGGGTCATCTCGGGTCATCTCGGGTCATCTCGGGAGACAGCGCCTACTGCGCAAGGTACGGCGGGCGGGCGGGCGGGCGGGAGGCGTCGCGGTTGGCGATGCACCCACTGCTGCTCGAGATCACGAGCCGTCTGCAGGCGGGGGGCGGACAATCTCGGGCAATCTCGGGCAATCTCGGGTCGCCTCGGGCCACCTCGGGCCACCTCGGTCCATCTCGGGCCATGTCGGGCGCAGGCGGCGGCGGAGGGGAGCGGGGCGAGGCTGACGCTGCTGTCGGGGCACGACACAGTGGTAGCGCAGCTCCTGGCCGCCCTCGACGCCACCGGCGAGAGTGAGCGGTGCGGATGGCCGCCGTACGCGTCGCGGGTGGTGTTTGAGGTGTGGGCGCCGGTGAGGCGCGACGAGGGGCGGTCGCCCGCGCTGGTTTGCGCGCGCTCTCGTCGACGGCGCACCGTGGCGTGAGCAGCGTCTCTTCACGGTGCAGCTGTGAACAGGTGGTGCGCGCGCTCTTCAACGGCGTGCCGCAGCCTCTGCCAGGGTGCAGCCCTGGTTTGGAGCTCTGCCCGCTCCGCGCGTTCGCACGGGCGGTCGAGGCGCGCTTCTCGGCGCAGGGAGGCTTCGAGCGAGCGTGCGCCGCAAAGGCGAGGCTCTAGAGACCTGAGAGAGCCTCCCGCGTCCCGGCAGAGACTGCTGTGTGTGGAGACTGGAGTTTCGAGATTCGAGTGGCGCTTTTTGGGGAGTTTTTTGTCGTGTTTTGGGATAACATGCACATGCACATGCACATGCGCATGTGCATGTGCATGTGCATGTGCATGCACATGTCTCGTCGTCAGTCAGGGGGGCGGGTGTATAGCGCACAGGTAGGGCTTGCGTTTGGGACTTTAGCTTTTTCCCCACGTTCCAACTTGTATTCCAAAAGTAGAGGGAAACACGCACACTCACACATGCACATGCAGAGAGAGAGAGAGAGACATGCATGTAGATTTGAGCTGGCAGGAGGTGGAAGAGGCGCACAAACGGGAACGAGAGGGCATCCACGCGCCGCGACGTGGCAGCGCTTGCCGCGCTGGCGTCGCACGCCTGCGCTGGCGGCGCTCGCCCGCGCTGGCGCGGCGGCCACTCACTGCGTACACCGGCTTTGTCTCTCGAGCTGGGCTACGGCCATCGCGGTGCCGGTGGGGGCGGCGAGGGGTCGAAGGGGCATGGGTGCACCTCGATCTCGACAAAATCCACATATCGGCTGCTCCCGGGCATCATGATTGACACGTAGCGCCCGGTTCCGACGCAGTCGACCGTGAGCGACGAGCCAGACGCGTCGGACTGGTCGCCCACATTACAAAGCCTGCCTGTTGTTGCAGGAGTGGTCGGCACCGGACCGTAAGCTGACAACTCCTGCGCCTGGAACCTGCGGCTCGCTCCGGGCAGAATGAAGGTGACGTACTGCGCAGTCCCCACACAGTCGATTGTGAGGGAAGTTCCCGATGACGGAAAGTCGCCAAGGTTGCAGCGGGAGCCAGAGGAAGTCCACGTGGCCGTGTCACTGAGCCAGACCTCGTACGGTCCTGTGATTGTGGCGTCGGTGCCAAAAGTCGATCTGGCATTGAACACGATGTAACCGATGTCGCTCAGCGCGCCGAGGTCGAGTTGAGCAAATGGGTCTGTCTCCGACGTATACGAGCTCCACGAACCCGTGGACCCTGGGCAACCTGATGCGGAGGGGGACGTACAGGAGGTGCTCGTGACGCCGTTGATCAGGTTTCCAGCACCGTGCGTGTAAAATGTGGAGCTCATGGTAGCTGAGGTTGCATCAATTTTGGGGACGTTCAGGTACGAGGCGGTGTCACCGATCCACACCTCAAAAGCGCCCTTAGAGTACCCGGAGCCCGAGCCGAAGGCGTGGGTTGGGTAGAGCGTGACGCTGCCGACGCTCTTCGCCTCTCCGAGGTCAATCTCGGCGAACGGGTTCGCGGTGGCGCTCTGCGCTCCCCAGGAGCCGGTGGCGCCTTGGTTACCGGCTGCGTATTGGGCGCTGCTGTGGACCGTGACGCCGTTGATTAAGTTGCCGGCTCCGAAGATGTAGTATGTCGAGCTCATGGCAGCACCCGTGGCGGTGTACGCCACGTCCGAGGGCGGGCAGCTCGGCGGGAACGGCGGCCAGGAGGGCGGGCTGCGAGGTGGCGACGAGGGCGGTGCAGACGGCGGCGGTAGCGACGGCGGAGGTCCAGACGGCGGCGCGCCAGGCGGTGCCGGTGGGGGCGGTGAGGGGTCGAAGGGGCATGGGTGCACCTCGATCTCGACAAAATCCACATATCGGCTGCTCCCGGGCATGATGATCGTCACGTAACGCCCGGTTCCGACGCAGTCGACCGTGAGCGACGAGCCAGACGCGTCGGACTGGTCGCCCGCCCAGCAGTGCCTTCCGTTGAAGCTGCGGCCGACGTGCGCGTCGAAGGCGGCTCGATCGCTCGCCGCAGTGTTGTCGGTCGTCTCCGAGTCGCCGAGCCAGATCTCGAAGGCGCCCTTAGAGTACCCGGAGCCCGAGCCGAAGGCGTGGGTTGGGTAGAGCGTGACGCTGCCGACGCTCTTCGCCTCTCCGAGGTCAATCTCGGCGAACGGGTTCGCGGTGGCGCTCTGCCCTCCCCAGGAGCCGGTGGCGCCTTGGTTACCGGCTGCGTATTGGGCGCCGCTGTGGACCGTGACGCCGTTGATTAAGTTGCCGGCTCCGAAGATGTAGAATGTCGAGCTCATGGTAGCACCCGTGGCGGTGTACGCCACGTCCGAGGGCGGGCAGCTCGGCGGGAACGGCGGCCAGGAGGGCGGGCTCAGAGGTGGGGTAAGTGGCGGCGGCGCGCCAGGCGGTGCCGGTGGGGGCGGCGAGGGGTCGAAGGGGCATGGGTGCACCTCGATCTCGACAAAATCCACATATCGGCTGCTCCCGGGCATCATGATTGACACGTAGCGCCCGGTTCCGACGCAGCCGACCGTGAGCGACGAGCCAGACGCGTCGGACTGGTCGCCCACATTACAAAGCCTGCCTGTTGTTGCAGGAGTGGTCGGCACCGGACCGTAAGCTGACAACTCCTGCGCCTGGAACCTGCGGCTCGCTCCGGGCAGAATGAAGGTGACGTACTGCGCAGTCCCCACACAGTCGATTGTGAGGGAAGTTCCCGATGACGGAAAGTCGCCAAGGTTGCAGCGGGAGCCAGAGGAAGTCCACGTGGCCGTGTCACTGAGCCAGACCTCGTACGGTCCTGTGATTGTGGCGTCGGTGCCAAAAGTCGATCTGGCATTGAACACGATGTAACCGATGTCGCTCAGCGCGCCGAGGTCGAGTTGAGCAAATGGGTCTGTCTCCGACGTATACGAGCTCCACGAACCCGTGGACCCTGGGCAACCTGATGCGGAGGGGGACGTACAGGAGGTGCTCGTGACGCCGTTGATCAGGTTTCCAGCACCGTGCGTGTAAAATGTGGAGCTCATGGTAGCTGAGGTTGCATCAATTTTGGGGACGTTCAGGTACGAGGCGGTGTCACCGATCCACACCTCAAAAGCGCCCTTAGAGTACCCGGAGCCCGAGCCGAAGGCGTGGGTTGGGTAGAGCGTGACGCTGCCGACGCTCTTCGCCTCTCCGAGGTCAATCTCGGCGAACGGGTTCGCGGTGGCGCTCTGCGCTCCCCAGGAGCCGGTGGCGCCTTGGTTACCGGCTGCGTATTGGGCGCTGCTGTGGACCGTGACGCCGTTGATTAAGTTGCCGGCTCCGAAGATGTAGTATGTCGAGCTCAACGGTCACGTACCGCGCGTACCCGACGCAGTCCAGCACCTCCTCGGCCATGCTCGAGGAGGCACCCGCGTTGCCCTCGGCGCACTGGGTCTGAGGGGTGGTCGTGTCGGACAGCCACACCTCAAAGTAGCCCAGATCCGCCAGGTGAGAGATACCGACGCTACCCACGTATCGCTCCTGCCCGAGGTCGACCTCGACGAAGGGGTTCTGCTCGCTCGTCACGCTTGTCCACGTGCCGGTCTGGCACTTCTTCGGCCCGTTTGCCACTTGAGTCCCCGTCGTTCCGCCGTCGACGCACCACTGGGCCGTAAACACGTAGAAGGTGCTGCTCATTGTCGCACCGACGGCATCGAATGTCACATCCGTCGGTGGGCATGACGGCAGTCGAGGAGGAGGCATCGGGCTCGGCGGCGGCTTCGGCAGCGGTCCGACTGGAGGTGGGAACGGCGGCGGCGGCGGAGACGGGTCGGTCGGACACGGGTGCGTCGCCACCTCGTACAAGTCCAGGTTGCGAGACGCGCCCGGGAGCATCACGGTCACGTACCGCGCGTACCCGACGCAGTCCAGCACCTCCTCGGCCATGCTCGAGGAGGCACCCGCGTTGCCCTCGGCGCACTGAGTCTGAGGGGTGGTCGTGTCGGACAGCCACACCTCAAAGTAGCCCAGATCCGCCAGGTGAGAGATACCGACGCTACCCACGTATCGCTCCTGCCCGAGGTCGACCTCGACGAAGGGGTTCTGCTCGCTCGTCACGCTTGTCCACGTGCCGGTCTGGCACTTCTTCGGCGCGTTTGCCACTTGAGTCCCCGTCGTTCCGCCGTCGACGCACCACTGGGCCGTAAACACGTAGAAGGTGCTGCTTGTCCTCGCCGTGCTGGCCTCAAACGTCACATCCGTCGGTGGGCAAGGAGGAGGCCGTGGTGATGGGGGAGGAGGTAATGGAGCCACTATCGGAGGGTAGGGTGGCGGCGATGGCGGCGGCGTGGGCGCCTTGTCGGGCGGATGCGGCACGGATGAGGGTGGATTCAGCGGCGTGGTGTCCTCCTCTGCGTCGGGTATGCTGTCGCCGTCTGCGTCGGGGTCGACGTTGTCGGTCGCGCCGTCGCTGTCTGCGTCGCTCGTGTTGGACTCCTCTGCGTCGGGGATGCCGTCGCTGTCTGCGTCGCCCGTGCCCTCCTCCGCGTCAGGCGCGCCGTCGCTGTCTGCGTCGCTGGTGTCCTCCTCTGCGTCGGGTATGCTGTCGCCGTCTGCGTCGGGGTCGACGTTGTCGGTCGCGCCGTCGCTGTCTGCGTCGCTCGTGTTGGACTCCTCTGCGTCGGGGATGCCGTCGCTGTCTGCGTCGCCCGTGCCCTCCTCCGCGTCAGGCGCGCCGTCGCTGTCTGCGTCGCTGGTGTCCTCCTCTGCGTCGGGTATGCTGTCGCCGTCTGCGTCGGGGTCGACGTTGTCGGTCGCGCCGTCGCTGTCTGCGTCGCTCGCGTTGGACTCCTCTGCGTCGGGGATGCCGTCGCTGTCTGCGTCGCCCGTGCCCTCCTCCGCGTCAGGCGCGCCGTCGCTGTCTGCGTCGCTGGTGTCCTCCTCTGCGTCGGGTATGCTGTCGCCGTCTGCGTCGGGGTCGACGTTGTCGGTCGCGCCGTCGCTGTCTGCGTCGCTCGTGTTGGACTCCTCTGCGTCGGGGATGCCGTCGCTGTCTGCGTCGCCCGTGCCCTCCTCCGCGTCAGGCGCGCCGTCGCTGTCTGCGTCGCTGGTGTCCTCCTCTGCGTCGGGTATGCTGTCGCCGTCTGCGTCGGGGTCGACGTTGTCGGTCGCGCCGTCGCTGTCTGCGTCGCTCGTGTTGGACTCCTCTGCGTCGGGGATGCCGTCGCTGTCTGCGTCGCCCGTGCCCTCCTCCGCGTCAGGCGCGCCGTCGCTGTCTGCGTCGCTGGTGTCCTCCTCTGCGTCGGGTATGCTGTCGCCGTCTGCGTCGGGGTCGACGTTGTCGGTCGCGCCGTCGCTGTCTGCGTCGCTCGTGTTGGACTCCTCTGCGTCGGGGATGCCGTCGCTGTCTGCGTCGCCCGTGCCCTCCTCCGCGTCAGGCGCGCCGTCGCTGTCGCTGTCTGCCTGGGGTGGTGGAGGTGCGCAGGGCGGCGCCTGTTCCGATAGACGCCTGTCGTGCGAAATCGTCGCTTGTCCCACTGCTTCAGTTGCCGCGGCTTCTAGGGCCAAGTCCGTGCCGTTGCTTGCGAGGCTGGGGGTCAGTGGCTCTGCTTCGAATCGGGAAAATGCAAAGTCGACCGCGTGCGCGAACGGCACTTCGTACATGGCCGCCTCCCCCTCTATCGCGCCCTCAGCCATTGCCTGCGTCGTGAAGTGGCCCTCGGCAGGGTACTCGTCGACGCGGCCCCGTCGCGGCGCGGAGGAGCAGAAGCTCTGGCCGACAATGCCATGCGGCAGAGAGCGAGCCTCCCCGCGAGCGGCGCTGAAGCTGATGTCGAGGCGGTGCGTGGGTCCTGCGACTCGGTCGTAGACGTGGTTGCCCCTGATGTCAATAGTCCAGCCCCCTTTCACGAACGTGGCACTGAAGTACCGCATGCGAATGGACAGCCCGAGGCAGGCCTTGGAACCCCGCCTGCCAATCTTGAAAGACGTCTGGGCGCAGGCCCCGGTGATCACCTGCCAACCCCAGCTGTCCTCTCTCAGCTCACGCGCCCAGAAGGATGCATTGACAAAGGCAAACTTGGAACCTGCCGCGCGTGCCACAACGTGAGCTTCGGTGATGAAGGACCCGTGCACGACCAGACGGCCTCCATTCATCCGAAAGACGGCATCCTCTGTCTTGATGTTGACCGCTAGGCCAGGCGCCGAGAGGAAGGAGTAAGTGCGGCCGTGCTCGCCGCGAAAGTCTGCGCGGCCGCCATGAGCGAAGTGAAGATGCGGGTCGCGATCCACACTAGACACAGGGGCGCAGGGGTCGAGCCCCGGCAGCGGCACGAGCAGACACGCTAGCATATCTGATAGAGCTCTACAGATCGAACGCCGAAAAAGCGGCGTGCCGGGGCCGGGTTTATCCCTCATTTCTCCATACTAAAAGTACAACGGTAACGAAGGATTTTACGCAGTATGACTGGTAGCTCTTCCTCGGAGGGTGGTCCGCTGGGTGTCAAAAGGGGTCTTTGGGGGGGTCAGGAATATACACCGCCCGCGCCTGCCTGCGGGCGGACACTCACACACAGCTCATCATAGCCCACACTTGGTGCAAACAGGAAATAAATAAGGGGGGGCTGGCTGGGTGGGTCGCTGCTCCCGTTCTACTCGAGTAGGCCTTTCATTTCACAACACAAACATTGTGCGAGGCGTGAACCGCGCCATTCGCTCTCACCTGGCAACCCTGTCTGCACGTCTCGCGCGCGCGTGAACAGGGCCGGGTCCGCAACGCCCACGGGGCGAATGCGATTGCCTGGCCCTATCGCCAAACGGCTCTGCTCCTCCTCTTGTCTGGCGGCAATCGCAAACTGCGGCACAGGCCGCGTTGGCGCAGAGGAGGCGGCAAGCCTCAACGCGCCTACCCGTTGCATACCGCCGGATCGGGCGAAGACTAAGTCTGCAGGCGTCGGCCCCGGCTGCTGCGAGGGCCCTCCCGGTGAGGTGTCCGTCCATCTTATGTGCAGTGCCAGTGGGGCTACAACTGTAGCGCGTCGGCAGGATCGAGGATCCCCAAAACCGTCGTAAACCCCCCCAAATTGAATTCGACCGCGCAAAGCTGTCCCCCCCCCCCCCCCCCGCAAACTTTAAACCACCATAAACATCATTGTGCAGGGGCTCCAGGCCCCAAATGACGTGTGAGTGTTAGATTTGTTTGGTATTGCTAAAAATCTCTCTCTCTTCATTTCGGGGGGGGGGGGTCTTGGGCGGCCGACGGCCTCGTAATCTTACTTACTATCTTTATTTTTGACATGCTCACTCGACATACTCACGTCTGAAAGAAAGGAAGGAAAACAAATGTAGGACCCGCCTGGCCGTATTTCTCCTTCCTCTGTCGGCTTAGTACGGTTGGTCAGCGCGTCTCCGTCTGACCTTCATCGCCGGCAGCGACCAGATCTGCCACTCTGTGCCCCTCCGGCGGGCAGTCTTCACGTCGAATGTTGATCCTCGGCCGGGCTGTGCTCTGTTTCGCACTGCTGCAGCTCGGCTGCGGGGCAGCGGCGATCTGCAATGGGTTCTGCAGCGCAAAACCGCAGCCTTGGAAAACCCGATGCGGATGGAGTGGTTGCGGTGGGTGCTCTCAGTGCACTACCCCTCCTCCATCGTCTTCTTCAGAAGCGGTCGAGGAGGCGCCGCCGGCCAACGGCGACTGCAGAGGTTACTGCGCCACCCATACCCTTGGCTTCCCGAAGCTGTGCGGTCGGGACGCCTGCAAGGGCTGTGGGCAGTGCTCCGGCCCCGCGCCGTCTCTCTCCCCCACAGAGGGCGAGTGCAGAGGCTACTGCGCCACCCATACCCTTGGCTTCCCGAAGCTGTGCGGTCGGGACGCCTGCAAGGGCTGTGGGCAGTGCTCCGGCCCCGCGCCGTCCCCCTCCCCCACGCCCGCCCCGGCGACAGAGGGCGAGTGCAGAGGCTACTGCGCCACCCATACCCTTGGCTTCCCGAAGCTGTGCGGTCGGGACGCCTGCAAGGGCTGTGGGCAGTGCTCCGGCCCCGCGCCGTCCCCCTCCCCCACGCCCGCTCCGGCGACAGAGGGCGAGTGCAGAGGCTACTGCGCCACCCATACCCTTGGCTTCCCGAAGCTGTGCGGTCGGGACGCCTGCAAGGGCTGTGGGCAGTGCTCCGGCCCCGCGCCGTCTCTCTCCCCCACAGAGGGCGAGTGCAGAGGCTACTGCGCCACCCATACCCTTGGCTTCCCGAAGCTGTGCGGTCGGGACGCCTGCAAGGGCTGTGGGCAGTGCTCCGGCCCCGCGCCGTCTCCCTCCCCCACAGAGGGCGAGTGCAGAGGCTACTGCGCCACCCATACCCTTGGCTTCCCGAAGCTGTGCGGTCGGGACGCCTGCAAGGGCTGTGGACAGTGCTCCGGCCCGCCGCCCTCGCTGCCGCCGTTATTGTTACTTGGGACCATCTCGCCTCCACCGTCTTCGCCGCCTCGGCACCCTCCACCGCCACCCTCGCCGCATTTTCCTCCCCCGCTGCCCCTTCTGCCGCCCCCTCCACCCTCACCGCCGCCGCCGCCACCGCCGCCACCGCCGCCACCACCCTCATCGCCGCCACCGCATCCATCATCGCCAGCACCCGCACCACCGCTGCCGCACCTTCCCCCCCCACTGCCCCTTCTGCCGCCCCCTCCACCCTCACTGCCGCCGCCTCCACCCTCACCGCCGCCGCCGCCACCGCCGCCACCGCCGCCACCGCCCTCATCGCCGCCGCCGATTCCATCGTCGCCAGCACCCGCACCACCGCTGCCGCACCTTCCCCCCCCACTGCCCCTTATGCCGCCGCCTCCACCCTCACCGATACAGCCACCATCGCCAGCGCCGGCGCCACCGCCGCCAGCTTCTTGCATGGCGTTCTGCGCCCGCAAGACCCAACCCTGGCCGGATCTGTGCTCGTGGTCGGGCTGCGGCGCTTGCACCGAATGCTTCCCACGGCCCCCACCGCTACCTCCCGCCTCTCCGCTCCCGCTGCCACCACCAACGCCGGCATTGACCGCGGGCTGCGGCAACTCCATCTCGTCGGGAGCCACCCTCTACTGCGCAGACGACCCCCACCTCTTTAACGACTTTGAGCCGGGGAAGGGCTGCGTCGAGCTCTGTGAGCAGACTCCGGCCTGCATGTTCGTCTCGCTGTGGAATGGTGGCTGGTGTCGCCTCACGCCATCTTGCTCGAAGTTGCGCGACACTGGCCATAAGGCCAAAGTCACTGTGAACGCTTGCACAGCGTCACCACCACCGCCGCAACCTCCGCCCTCTCTTCCCCTACCTCCACAACCACCCCCACTGCCCTCCTCCCCTCCGCCATCGCCGCCCCCGCCCCCACTCCCTTCCTCCCCTCCGCCGCCCCCGCAACCGCCACCCGTGCCTTCCTCCCCCCCACCTACTCCACCCCCGCCCACTCCACCGCCGCCTGCTCCGCCCCCGCCGCCCCCGCCCCCACTGCCCTCCTCCCCTCCGCCCCCACCGCAACCGCCACCCGTGCCTTCCTTCCCCCCACCTACTCCACCCCCGCCCACTCCACCGCCGCCTGCTCCGCCCCCGCCGCCATCGCCTCCGCTACCCCCATTGCCACCGCCCCCACCGCCACCGCCACCGCTGCCTCCCTCCGCCCCACCCTCGCCACCAACTCCACCGCTGCCCTCATCCCCACCGCCCCCACCGCCGCCCCCACCGCTGCCTCCTTCTGCTCCGCCCTTGCCCCCACCGCTATCACCACCTTCCGGGCCGCCAGTCTTCGACTGGTCTGCGCCGCTCAAGAACGGCATCAACCTCGATGTGGCGACACCGAGCAGCGGCGTCTGGTTCAAGTGGCAGTACGATAAGTCGCAAATGCAGGCAATCGCAGAGGCGGGCTTCGAGTCGGTGCGCATCTTCATGCCCTTTTCATCAAAGATGGAGGAGAAGCAAAAGCAGATCGAGGACGCGCTGGACGCCGGGCTTTCCATTGTCGTGTGCATGTGGGGCGAATGGGGCTGGTCGTGGAACGTGACAAAAGGCGTCTGCGAGATCTCCAACGGACGGCGCAATCGCGGTGAAGGCTGGGGTGCGCTGGCCCGCGCATGGAAGGTGTATCCTCAGACCGGCGCGCGGTACAACACCGCACGTACCTGCCGCGTGACCACCATCGACCCACACTGAACCCGCGCACCCTGCATGCGCAGGGCTTCTCCAAACGATTGGTCTTTGAGGTACTCAACGAGCCCAAAGGCATTGGCTTCCCCACTACCAACACGGGCAACGCCAACGCGATGCGGCTGTGCAATGCGGCGGTGCAGGCAATCCGCAGCGCTGACCCAGACCGCCCGATTCTAGTCGGCAGCCCTGGGCTTAACGACGCCGAGTTCCTCGAGTACGTGACGGCACAGTTCCTCCCGTACACCTTTGGCAGTGGCGGAAGCTTCTACAACGACCCGAATGTGGGCGTGGCGTTCCACTTTTACGAGCCGAGGCACCCATCGATAGTCCCCGGCCTTCCCACAGCGCAGCAGACCACCTTCGCGATGTGGGACGGTGACCTCGTCCTTGATGGCCCCGAAACGGAGTGGCGGGATGGGCTCAAGGTGTGGCAGGCGCCGATCAAGTTGCAGTTCGACTTCGTGGACGCCTGGCGCAAACGGAGCGGCCACGGTGACATCCCCGTCGTGACCACCGAGTGGGGCTGCTGGATGTTTGAGAGCCGGAGCAAGGGCGGCGACCTCCGCGTGTGGCTAAACTATACGCACGGGCTGTTCGCCAAGCACGACGTTGGCCAGATGTGGTACGTGGGAGTCATGTCCAACCAGTACGCCTACACCATCTTCGACTCGGAGACCGGCTGGGACGCGACCGTGCTCCCCAAGCTGACCGGCAAGCAGCCGCCGACGAGCTGGCCGCACATCAACCAGGTGCTCAACGGAGAATTCCTGAGCCATTCGTCCGATGTGACGAAGGTGCACCCGTGGGTCTCCACTAGCCCCACACAATGAAATCCGTCGGCGGTGCTCTTCTGAGCAACTGCAGCTGTGACGGAATCTCTCTGCTTGCTCTGCCACACCCTACCCCCCTACATGCGCCAGATGAGCTTTTTTCTCCTGCGCTGTCCTCACCCAGTGCTCCCTGTGGCCCTGCGTGCAGGACCTGCATTCGCCAACCTCGTCGCCACACATTTCAAGGTGCAGCTCGCACTGCATCCGTCTCTGCACAAGACCCACAAGCTGCTACGTCACTCTTGTGCTATGAACACAAATAATCGTGCTCCTAGCCACCGGTGGCCTACAACCCAATTGCATAGGTGTGCCCCAAGCACCCATCCCCTCCCATGACTGCTAGGCGCTTGTCGGCCTTTCCCCTCAACGCAGCCCTGGTCTGGCCGATTCTTTTGCGGAATCTCCTCGTATCTCCCCGTATCTCCCCGTATCTCCCCGTATCTCCGGTATCCCGCCATATGCCGCCGCCATATCCCGCCATATCCTGAGTTCGCCAATACGCGCCCCCAATGTAGCAGGTGCGTACTACCGGCTGGACCTTGTGCGACGACTTCAACGAGTTTAACAAGGCAGCCTCCCGCTTCAGGACAGCCTTTCGCTTCAGGACAGCCTTTCCCCGCAACGCCCCACAATGCCCTTGGGGGTGCGTACCGCCCAGGTCGCGTTCCGCCTGCACACTAGCAGGATGGCTGTGTGCCATCCTGCGCTGGCTGTGTACTACCCTCCAGTTGTGTACTGCCCTCTGAGGGTGCGTACTACTGAGGGTGCGTACCGCTGTGCATGGCTGTGGACCGTCCTGCACTGGCTGTGTACTGCCCTTGACGGCTGTGTCATGAGATTCCTGGAGAGATCTTTGAGATGGCCCCTCCACCTACCTAGAACCAAAGCCTGACCCCTCCCCCCCCACCCCCACCCCCACCCCCACAGTGAGCAACTCAACATGCTGTACCTCCCTGCCTTTGGGCGCTGACACTTTTCGATACCTGCTCTGGCCGATTTTTTTCGCGGTATCCGCGGCGGGATATGGCGGGATGCCGGGAGATACCGGGGGATACCGCGGGATTCCCGGAGATACGGGAAGATGCGAGAAGATGTGGGGAGATGCCAGAAGATGTGGATCCGGACATGGGCGGCGCGACCACTGCTCCGCTCCAAAGGCCAGAGACCAGAGGTCAGTGCAGGTGGCCGCGCCGCCCCGCCCCTGCGTCGCCCGCCGCCGCGCCGCGCCGCCGTGCCGTTCTTAACGGAGTCGCTTAGGCGGCTCCGGCGGTGAGCCGGTGAGTGTGCCAGTCCGCGCCAGTCCGCGCCCTTGTCGTGCCAGTGTGCTGTGAGAGGGCTTTTAAGAATTCTTTTGGCGGCAAGGCTGTGAATGGTCAGGCCGTCGGGCTCTGTCCTCGCCTACCTCCCGGAGCCGCCCGGCTGGCGAGCCCACCCTCCCGGGCGACTTCCCGTTGATGCGGCCGACCCCTGCTGGTCCCTCGACCCCGCGCCGGCTGTCGTCGGCTCGCGGCCGCTCGCCATCGTCGAGGTCGTCGACTACGATCTCTTTGTGCTGGGCACCTCTCGTGTGATCACGCTCGACCCGCTCGGCGTGCTCGAGGAGCGGCTGGGCGACGAGGCAGTGCGGCGTGTGCAGCGCGCGCTGCGAGAGTCGCGCACGTACCCCTCACTATCCTCTGCGGGCGACGCGCTCCACATCGCAATCTTTGGCGAGCCCGGCCCGACCCAGTGGCTGTTTGAGGCGATTGTGACGCCGCACGTGTACGCGTCGCCCACGTTGTGGGACACGCGGCTGCTCGGCCGGAGGAAAATGCTCGGAACGTACCGTGACCGGGAGTTCGAGCTCGACACCTCGCCCGACCTCGCCTGCTGCAACATGGACGTGCTGCACCCCGTCTCGCGCCCGCCGTCCGACGCCCGCAGGCACTGGACGGTGCGGATCTGCCAGATCACGCCCCTCGTCCGGCGGGGGCTGACCGACCGCGAGGCCAAGGCCATGCTGCAGCGGCTCCTCGACCAGGCACGCCGCCGCCGTCACACACACCCTTTGCCCCGCCTCTCTCCGGTGAGGCGTGCCGGCCGCCTCAGGAAGCTCGGGACCCGAGCAGGCTCGTCCTGGGCGCGAAGCGGAGGGGCCGCGGCGGCGCAAAGGTGTCACAGCTCGGCGGCGACGCACGACCCGAGCGCGACCACGGCTGCGTCGCTCCGCCCCCCTCCCGCGAGCGCGCGGTTGGTGGCGGCAGAGGCGGGGCACAGGGAGGGAGCGACGACCCGAACCTGCTGCGGGTCCTCGAGCTCCTCGAGCGGCGGGACGCGCTCCGCTCGCGGCGCGAGTGGGCGGAGGTGTGTTGCGTGGGAGCCGGCCATGCCGGCGTCCATGACACTTCCACGACACGTCCTCCCCCTTCACAGGCGGACCGGGTCAAGGAGGAGCTCGTCGCCCTCCACGTGCGGCTGGACGACGGCAACAAGAGGTGGAGCATCAGGCCGCCCGGCGGAGGCGGCGGAGGCGGTGGCGGCAGCCCGCCACCCTCCGGAGGAGCCCCGAGCCTCCGCCGCGACGCACGGCCCGAGCGCGCCAAGCGGCGCAAGCACCCGCTGCGCATCGCCAAGGTGCGGGCGGGCCACCTGGTGTTTCTGTACCCCGAGCGGCTGCCCGCGGGGGCGAGCCCGCACCAGCCGCACCTCGTCCTCGAGGAGACGTGGCCCATCCGGGGGGAGCGCGGCGGCAACGCGCCCCGCCACCTCCGCCTCCAGCCCCAAACCGCCTCCACCCAACCGTCGGGCGAGCCCTTCCTCCTCGAGGAGGGGGCGGTGAGCGCCCTGTACACCGGCTTCCGCGCCGCGTGGCTGGCGGTGGAGGCGGCGGGGGACGCGGCGCTGCGTGAGACCCTCCTCCGCGCCCTCTCGTGGTACTGCGACGAGAACGCGTGGCGGCCGCCCGCGGAGAGCATCCGCCAGATAATCCACTCGGGCGCGGTCAGCAAGGAGCAGGCGCTCGAGCTCGCGGCCGAGGTGCGGGCGCTGACGGGCGGGGGCGGCGAGGGCTACGCGAGCGGGGGCGAGGGGTCGGCAGGCGCGCGTCCATCCGGTTCGTGTGCAGGCACCCGCCGCTTTCGCTGACAGCCACGCTCACTGCCCCCTGCAGGAGCCGCTGCCCGACCCGCCGCCGCGGCGCCATCGGCTGAGGTCCAGGGAGCCTTTGAGGCGGGCGACGTGGTGTGGCTGCGCTCGGAGCTAACCCCGCGCGCCATGCTCGTCCTCGGCCACACCGCGTGGGAGGGCGGCGGCGCGAAGAGCTGGTTGCGGCTCAAGGCGCTGCCGACCGCTGAGGGGGGCAGTTCCGACGGCGCGCTGCCTCGCCTCCCCGAGCCGGAGGAGCTGACGGCGGACGAGGCCGGGCCGGTGGAGCACGTGGTGCCGTTTGCGCAGCTGCTCGGCACGGAGTGGAGCCGACCACAGCGGGTGCCCAGCGACGCCGGGGAGGGCGGGGACTCACCTCGGGGCTGTGGCAGCTCAGGGGGGCGGAGCTGCGTTACCAGCCAGCGTGAGGCAAAGGCAGCGGCGGCGGCGCAGGGAGGGGTGGGGGCGGAGGAGGGGGCCGAGGGAGCGGGCGGTGGGTTGGTTGGCTCCTCCGCGAAGGCGCAGCGGCCGTCGAGCGCTCCACCCTTCCCTGACCACGTCGACCACGCCGAGCTGCGGCGGGCGCTCGAGGACGCCTTCCGCAGCCACTTCCGCGCCGACGTCGAGAGGGACGAGGTCGGGCTTGGGGCGCTTCAGGCGGAGGGCATCAGCATCACGCCCGACGAGTACGAGGCGGGCGCCGAGTGGCGGTGCGCGTGCGCGCTCGCGACGCACGGCGCGCTCGTGCGGCTCGGGTACGCGACGCGCCGCGGGGCGCTGCTCCACTTTGCGGCGGCCGCGCTCCGGGGCGAGTGGAGCCGCGCAGTGCCCGCGGAAGCGGAGGCGCGGCTGGGGGAGGGGAGAGTGGCGCGAGGGGAGGCGACCACGTGCTCTCCGACCGGCGACGGCCCTGCGGCGTCGCGGGGAGACCGCCCGCCACCTTGCGACGAGGGAGCGGCGGCGCGGCTGCGCGACGAGGAGCCGGCTGGGTGCATCCCGCACGGCGTGGTGCTGCACAGCGGCGGCGCGGCAGGCAGCGGCGGCTCGTTCGTTACCGCCCCGACAGCAGCGACGGTCGGCAACGACAGTCCGCACGTGGGGCCGGGCTCCAAGCGCAAGCGGGCGGCGGACGCGGACACGGAGGTCGCGCGCCATTGCCGCGCGGAGCGCAGGCAGCGCGAGGCTGCTGCGCCGGGTGAGGTGGTGGTCCCGGCGTCACACCGCGCCGCGGTGCTGGAGGGTCTCCGCCGCGTGCTAGTCAAGGAGGGGGGGGACCCGGAGGAGTGGTGGGAGAGGAATGGAGCGGGAGGGCCGTTCCCGTTTGAGGCGGACCTCCCGTCCTTGCGCGGGTTGCGCGGGGGCGAGCTGTACCGAGAGGAGGGAAAGGCGACTAGCCGGAGTCCCTAGAGCCGCGCGGGTGCCTCGGGACCGATCGGACACGCACAAATCTCCCTTGGTTAGTATTGACTGATCAGAAGGGCCCCCGCTTCAGCCTTCACACAAGGGGACCGACTCGTGAGGGTGAGTCTGAGACTGAGTACTGAGAGCTGAGACGCACAACAATCCCTTTTTAGAGCGAGAGATAAAACAAAAACGATGAATGGCTCTTGAGCACGCGCTTGGTACCCGGCAAGAGCCCCAAGGGGCGTGAGAGGGTCAGAGAGAGCGAAGCTCGAGGGCTCCTCACTACGTGCCTCCCCGTCTTTGTAGCCTGGCGTTTGTGCCCCGTTTGTGCCGCGTCCCGTGCCCCCGAGTTCATTTCATACAAAGCTCGAGGGCTCGAGGGGGAAAAAACCGCGAGTTCGCCCGTGCAGAAAGTGGCCAGATCGCTGGACGCTGGCTGGACGTGGGCCGCGTGAAAGGAGATGGGCGAAGGCGACTCCCGCGACGATGAACTGGCGCGCGCCTCGGGCTTCCCTCCACCCCCGCGCGCGCCGCGCTCCTCAGCCGCGCCCCGCTGTGCACAGGTCACACCGAAGCTCTGCGAAAGTGTGGTACACGCCCGACACCAACAGGTCGGCGTCCTAGTTGGTCTTGGGCACCCCGAGGAGGCGGCCGCGTGGAGCGCGGCGCTCCACGAGATTGCGCGCGCAGTCGAGCTCTTGGAACCTTACGGGGCGCGGACCGGCATCACACCGGCCTTCCGCAAGTATGCGGCCCGAAACCACCCAGACAAGGGCGGTGACGCGGAGGACTTCAAGCTGGTGCAGGGCATGCTGCGCGTCCTCGAGCTCCCCACCTTCGACTGGCTCCTCTTCGGCATCCACGGGGCGGTGGCGGTCTTCTCCTTTGCCGTCCGCGCTGGACTACTCGAGAAGTGGTGTGGAGAGGCGGGGGTCGAGGCGGCCGCGAGCAGTGAGCCGGCAACTCACGCCCTGGTGGCGCTGCCCGACAACAGCGTGGAGTGCTGGGAGCTGCACGACCTCGAGATTGTGACAGCCCCGCTCGACACCAGCCTCACATGCTTTGGGTGCCTGCCATCCACGCGGTCGCCCCCATGTTTCCCGAAGAGCCTGGACTTCCAGCCTCAAAGCTTTGAGGCCCAAACTCTCCTCCCGCGCGCCACCCGCCGCGCGCGACCCGCGCGCGACCCGTGCGCCACCACCCGCGCGGCACACCCGCGCGCCACCCGCCCTCACCGCCGCGCGCTTGCCCGACTCAGGATCCCGTCCCGGACGACACCAAGGGCGAGGAGGCGCGGCCCTCCCACAGCGCCGCTCCCCACCCCTAGCACTGCGCGTACATATACCGCGCCTGCCCGCCCGTCTCCCCGCAGCAGTCCGCCGAGACCACCGGCGGCGTCGTCGTCCGCACCGAGCAGCAGCAGCACCAGCAAGAGCAGCATCCCGAGGCGCACACGTCGGGCTGCTCACGCTCGGCCCCCCCCACAAACGGAGTGTGCGCCTGCTCGGGCCCTCTGGCTCCGGCAAGACACACCTGATGAGGGCGGGGGCGGAGCTGCTCGTTCGGCCCTTTGTGCGAGCGGACGCGACTCGCTTCTCGACGACAGGATACATTGGCGCAGACGCGGAGGAAACTGTGCCCCAGCTGCTGCCTGCTGCTAGTGGCGATCTCGCTCTGGCGGAG